CTATGCGTTTTATTACTTTTGATTCTATTGTAAATGGAATTGCTTTCATTATCAGCGTATAGAAATATGACCAATTTTGTGATCTTAAACCTGATTATTAATTCTTAAAGCTCTGTGAGTGTGTGTGTGTGGTGTGTGTGTTTGTGTGTGTGAGTGTGTGTGTGTGTGTGTGTGTGTGTGTGTGTGTACACCAGTATGTGAAATATTTAGGAATCTAATCTAAGATAATTTTGATCATCTTTCCAAAAAAGCCAGCTTTGGGAACTGGAGTGAGAATATAGGAGCTAAAATCTTGTGTTGTATACAGCTGACACTAGTTCAATCCTTGGTACCATCCATGTATGGTCTCCTGAGCATAGAGCCAGGAGTAAGCCCTGAGCACAGGTGGGTGCGACTCCCCAAAACAAAAACAACAAAAAAGCTAGCTTTGGGTTTCATTGCTTTGATTTGTATATTCTCTGTTTACCTATGCTTTCATCTTTATAATATTTTTCTGTCAGTTTGGGGTTTTGGCTCTTTTTAAAAGTGTAGTTCCCTACAGTATAAGTTTATGTTTTAAATAGATAATTCTCTTCTCTTTATATAGCTATAAATTTCTATACGGCAGAGTCTGGCAAGCTACCTGTGACGTATTCGATATGCCAAAAACAGTAAAACAGTAACAATAACAGGTCTCATTCCCCTGGCACTGAAGGAACCCCCAATACGCCACTGGGCTACGCTACCATGAGACAGTGACGAGTGGAGACATTACTGGTGCCTGCTCTAGCAAATCGATGAACAACGGGACAAGTGATACAAGTGATAAATTTCTAGTTGAACAGTGCTTTTGTTACATAATTTAGATTTGATGTGTTGTATTTCTTTTTTAATTTAAGTACTTTCTTCTTCTGGGAATGCATACCCAGGAGCTACTCCCAGCTCAGTGCTCACTGTTTGCTTTTGGCAGTGTTCAGGGACAAAGCGGTACCAGGGATCAAACCCAGGCCTCCTGCATGTTAGACATGCTCCAGCCCGTTGAGCTATCTCTCCATCCTCTGTGGTGTCTACTTTATCCTGTGATTTCTTCTTCGATCTACTAAGAGTTTGCTATTTAATTTATACATATTTGTGAATTTTCCAGTTATTAATTTCAAGCTACATCCTAAGAGGACAGGTGGTATCTGTTACAGAATGCTTATGTTTAAAAATAATGACCTGGAGAATGCTTTCCATACACATCCGAGAAGAATATGTTTTCAGTTTTTAGGAGAAGTAATTTGTATATCACTGTATCACTGTCATCCTGTTGTTCGTGGATTGCCTCGAGCAGGCCCCAGTATTGTCTCCTTCGTCCTATCCCTGAGATTTTAAAAAGTGCCACATTCGAGGCTCTTTCAGGGTTAGGAAATGAGACCCATCATTGTTACTGGTTTTTGGCATATTGAATATGCCACGGGTAGTTTGCCAAACTCTGCCGTGTGGGCAGGATACTTTTGGTAGCCTGCCAAGTTCTCCTGAGTAAGAACTAGATAATAAGATGTTGAGTGGCCGTGAATGTGGCTGCTCGCTTCCGGGAACAGGGTTTTATAGTCTCCGTATATATGTCTTTAAAATTTTTTATTTTTTGCTTTTTGGGTCACACCCGGCGATGCGCAGGGGTTACTCCTGGCTCTGCACTTAGGAGTCACTCCTGGCGGTGTTCAGGAGATCATATGGTATGTGGGGAATTGAACCCGGGTCAGCTGCGTGCAAGCAAATGCCCTACTCGCTGTGCTATTACTCCAGCCCCATATATATGTCTTTAAGGTCTAGTTGGTTTGTGTTGTTCAAATCCTCTATTTATCTGATCCTCTACCTATCTGGTTGTCCTATTTGTGTTAAATACTTTTTACCCCCTTCTGCTCTGGCTTCCCAAATTCTGGGAGCACAATACTTGGCCAGCTGGATCAGATGGTTTAGTTGCTCAGGTTGATTGGATGCTTACAGTGCTCAGTAGTGATGGATACTACCAGGATTATGTCTGGTGAGGATGAGTGTACTGAAGTCCAAAGTCAGGTCCTTGATCATGCAAGTGACGTACTCCTAATTGTTGAGCTATTTCCCCAGCCCCTCTGATATTTAAAAAAATCTTATTATTCTTATTCTTTTATTATTTAGCTTTCCAAGTTCTTTAAAATTGATTTTCAGAGATAATAATTTTCTGACAAACTAGGTACATTATTCAAATTTACCTAGTGTTTCTAGCAATTATTGTAAAAAAGAAATGAGTACCTGGATGAAGTACAAAATTATTTCGTCTTGAAAACCCAATTTTTCCAACTTCTGTCATGGTTATTTTCCCCTGTAAGCTCAAAAGTAAACTCTCTTTTCTTGGGTTTGTTCCCAACTTGTGGATATTCAGTGGAACAGTTATTAAAATACCCACAAACGTTTGCAGTATTGCTAACTGGCCAAGCCTCATGCCCTGAAGTGCGTTTGAGTGTATGTACAGTGCTTAATCTGCCCCTATAACCCCTCTTTACTCTTAGCTGGAGGGTCCAGAATTCTTATTCAGTTCTGTGGCTCATGAACATTCTAATTAGTTGGTGACTGTTCCATACTGTCTAGCAGATGTTTTGAATATCACTTGAAACAGAAATATTTTATCATGTCAATTAGTAGTTGAGCACATGAAGTGTTTAGAATTAAACAAAATCGACTTAGAACAGAGTCATCTTCGTTTTTCTCCAGATCTTTCAAAGTTAGTTTTTTTTTTTCCACAGCTGGTGGTATTCAGGACTGACTCCTGCCTCTGCACTACTCAGGGTCATTCCTGGTGGAGTCAGGGTACCATAGGAGATGCCAACTCAGGTTGGCTGCATGCGAAGCAAGTACCCTAACATGTTGTACTCCGGCCCCAAAGTTAATTTTCTTATTAGTAAAAATTTGCTTATGAAAGTTAATTGGAGAATTTTCAGGATACTTGGAACATAGTAAATGCCATTATCAGCATATATATAAATGAATGATGACAGGCCATAAAACATTCCATTGAAATCGATATAAAATAAATTCAGGGGGCTGGAGCAATAGCACAGCGGGTGGGGCATTTGCCTTGCACGTGGCTGACCTGGGTTCCATTCCCAGCATCCCATATGGTCCCCTGAGAACCGCCAGGGGTGATTCCTGAGTGCAGAGCCAGGAGTAACCCCTGTGCATCGCCAGGTGTGACCCAAAAAGAAAAAATAAATTAATAAATAAATTCAGTTAAAATTATTAAGTTCCTTAAGAATTACTCTCTTTCATATGCATATGTAAAATAAAGATATATTTTAAAATGTGTCTGTGTATAAGAAATGTCTATGGAAAATGTTTATGGAGTCAGGCAAGTAACATAAATGACAAATGCTTGAAATGAGTTTGGGGGACAAGGAAGAATGCTAGTCCAGTGTTGCCAGATTTATTGCATTTTTAATATAAAATAGAAATTCAGATTTTAAAAGAAATCTCCATATTTTCAAATGTTGATAACTACATCAGAGTGTTGGGGTGAACAGAGAGTACGGGGAGAAAGGGACTCTCCTTTATTGTTGTTGGGAATATCGACTGGTCCAACAATATGTATGTTTCTCAAAAAACTAGTAATTGAGCTCCCATTTGAGCCAGCAATACCACTTCTGGGAATATAACCCCAGCGTGAAAAAAGGCACAGTAAATATGACATCTGCATTAACAGTACGTTCATTGCAGCACTGTTCACACTAGCCAGAATCTGGAAACAACCCGAGTGCCCGAGAACAGATGACTGGTTTAAAGAAACTTTGGTACATATACACAATAGAATGCCATGAGACTGTTAGGAAAGATGAAATCATGAAATTTGCTTATAAGTGGATGGTCATGGAGAGTATCATGCTAAGTGAAATGAGTCAGAAAGAGAGGGGCAGACATAGAAGGACTGCACTCATTTGTGGAATATAAAATACCATAATATGAGACTAACACACAAAGGCAGTAGAGACAGGGCCAGAAAGATTTCTCCATGATTGGAAGCCTGCCTCATGTGCTGGGGGAGAAGGCAGCTGGGGTAGAGAGAGATCATTAAGTCAATGATGGTTGGAGGGATCGCTTGGGATGGGAGATGTGTGCTGAAAGAAGATAAAGGATCAGACACGGTGGCCTCTCAGTATCTGTATTGCAAACCATAATACCCATAAATAGAGAGAGAGTGAGAGGGAAATTGTCATAGAGGCAGGGAGTGGAGTGAGACAGAGAGGAGGGAGGGATACTGGGGACATTGGTGATGGAAAATGTGCACTGGTGGAGGGATGGGCGTTTTATGATTATATGACTGAAATTCGAACATGAAAGTTTTGTAACTGTAAGTCACGGTGAATCAATTAAAAAAATAAAGGAAAGGAACTTTGGTCATAAAAAAGTGTTGGGATGAGGTGTAGGATAAGGGGAGATGGAGCATAGAACAACAAAATATGCAATAGGCTGCTGAATTTGTCTGCTAGTTTTCTGCCTCTAACGTTTACTATTCCATTAACTCTCAAAACATATGTGAACTAGAGAGCTGTCATACAGGATGTAATCATATTATGATCATATCAATATAATTTTCATAATGACCATATTAATTAAAGTCATTGAAAGGCTAAAATTATCAAGCAAAAATAATTGATGCAATTATATTAAGCATAGTTTTGTAAGAATACAGATTGGTACTGTCTCAGTCTTTGGAAAACTGAAGTTACAAAGCTCTCCTGAGAGAAACTGTGTACAATAGTGAATTAATATATCACTGGCAAAATAATAGCTGGCATCATTGAATTTTTTTATTATCGGAAAACATTAAGACTTTTACATACAGATCTATATAATTTACTTAATCACAATATCTTCACTACCTTTATTATTATCTGTGTTTTATCTTTAACTGATGTATTCTACTGAGAAAATGCTTTTATCGCTGATATTTTTGTCTAGTTCATAAAGATTCTGAGAACTTCATAGGAAATAAAAGTTTTTCTTACCAGCTTTGAACCTTTTTGTTTTCTAGCCAACCTTCGTTGTTTAATTTTTAGAACAGTTTGAGCTTCTTCTGCATGGACTAGTTTAGGGGCTACAAGCTTAAAAAAGAAAATTACAACATTGAAGTGTTATAAAAATCAAGTTTATCATTTAAAATGCCACTTAAGGGATGGGGATATGGCATGAATGATAGATCCCATATTTTGCATCGGGGAGTCCTCTGTTCAGTTCTTAAGTCCCTGATGGCCACCTCAGCTCTCCTGGTTGTGTCCTAGGTGCCCACCTCAAAACACCTCTAAGTGTGACCCAAGGCACTCATCGTTGCAGGTGTGACCTCCCCAACATTAAGAGTCACAATTATATCTGGAGGAATATGGAGCTAAACCCCTGAAAAAGGAAAAGGGGAAAAATCCTTTTATGTTTAAAGATGTTAATTCTTAAGGCAAGCTTTTCAGGGTGCGAGAGCTAGTTCTCAAAGGACTGAAGCGCATGTCTTGCATGCTGGAGGCTCAGTTTCGATCACTGCCACATGTCTTCCCAAGCACGGCAGGAGCAACTGATGAGCACTGAACTGGACTGGGAATATTTCCTGAGCACCACTAGATTTGGTCCCACAAACAAACAAACAAAAAAGGGTAAGCATTGGTGACAGAATGTGTCAACACATTGTGTCAACATTATATGACTGAAACCCACTCATGAACAACTTTGTGACTGTGTAGCTCATGGTGGTTAAAAAAATTAAATTAAAAATTAAAATTAAAAATTAATTAAAATTATTAAATTAAAAAAAGTTAAATTAAAAAAATAATTTTTTAAAAAACATAAATTTTCCTAGAGTTATGTATATAAATGGTTTAGGATGGTGAAGCATATGGAAACAAAATAATAGCTAAGTTTTCAAAGAAATTGACCAAATTGCATAATATCTGTGAGTTAGCATTTAAGTTTCATGAGTCACTCTCTCTTCCCACAAAGTTCATTTGAACCCCATTAAATAAAAACTGCTTCTTGGGACTAGGAGGTGTCATTTCCAATTATTAACAGGATTTGGGAGGAGAAAGCATACCTTCTGTATTTCATGGTAGTTGTTCAAAGCTATAACCCACTGACACATAGAGCAACAGGCCACAGAAACTAGGGCAACCTTTCTTGGGTTGAAGTCGGGGAAGGCTAAAATTTTTTTCAGCCGTTTGAAAGCCTAAGAAGAACACAGTGCGTGCATTTATTACATGAGTAAAAGTAGGATCGACCTGAAGTTTTCTCTAGTTTACACCAGAACTGTTACTTTATATAAGGATTACACAGCTACACTTCAATGGCCTGACTGAAGTTCTGCCTACACACCTGCATGCAAAACAGACAGACTGCTAAGTCTACTATAAATTTCTTTAGAAGTAGGGGAGAAGTGTCTATTAGAAACTTCTTGTTGCAGTTGTTTTCAAAAAGGAGCTCTATTTGAGAGCAAATATAAAACAGATTAGCTTCCTACAGTCTCATGAAATTTGGTGTCAATAGATCTGAAGTTTTCTTTTCTTGCACGTTCAGTGTGATGCGACCAGGTACAGACCATCTTCCACCTATGGTTGCCTATGGAACATTCTCTTCAGAGATATAGATTGAGGTTTGAGTCTGTGATACTCACAAGGCTGCAAACATCTGAGAAACATTTTCTAAAGGACTGGTCTGGAATAACCCACTCCTGTAGGCAGGAGAGGCAGCAGTGTTTCAGGGAAGGAGGTCTATGTGCTTATTTTTAATGTTTCTGAGTGCTGATATGTAATTTAGCACACATCCAAGGGTCTATTGAAACATTACCCAAATAATACAGAAACATCTCTGAATTCTTTTCCTTTGTCATATTCTAACTCCTGGCATCTTGCTTGCACACATGTAGGATGACCATGTTTTGTAATTGATGCCATCAAGGGTATATCCTTGATTGCTTGGCTCCGATGGTTAGAACGTTTCATCCAGAAGCAACTTGATACTTGATAGATATTCATCTCAAGCATAAGGAACATTTTCCAGGATAGGCCATATGTTAGGCCATAACAAAATATTTGAAACATTTTAGGGACTGAAAAAATGTTAGGCATTTTATTGAACTGCAGAGGTATAAAGGTAGAAATTTATAATAAGAAACTTAAAAAAAAAGCTCATATATGGTTGAAAGGTATGCTAAGTAAAGAGACCAAGGCTGAGAGGGAAATAAAACCAAAGCAGGTTCACTGGAGTGCTTCCAGGCGAGGTTCATGGGTCTCTAAAGAGGCCAGTGAAGTTGCTCCCTCCAAGTGGGGCTGCAGTTAGCCAGGGGAGAAGGGGTGCAGTGGAATGAGAAAGTACGAGCTTCTGTGCAAGTTATTGCTAGATAGTGCCTCTGTGCAAGTTCCAGGAATTCCAACAGGATGATAAAAATCTTCGGGTGGTTTCATAAGCCCCATCTGCAGGTGCTCACCAATAATTTCAAGATCCCTTCTACCCTGAGCCCCTGTACCTGCCCCCAAATGGTGAGATCAAGTATGTGTCTGGGACACAGTGGTGAAAATGGGTTTCTATTTCAATCCCCGGGACTACATGATCCTCTTGCTCCCCAACCCAGGCACTGCTGACCAGTATGACCCTTGTGGACCTCTGAGCACTGCTAGGTCCCAACATCACTAACAGTTAAGGCTAGTACTGACCAATGACTATTCCTAAGTTTAGACAAGTACTCTACCTTCCGTACTATCTCTCCAGCCCTGACAAATAGTATCTAATATTTCAACTCACTGTTGACTTCCAGTTCTAAAACTTCTACTAAACATCTATGCATCAAAAAACACAGAACGCATCAATGAGAAAGTAGTGGTTTACCTTCTCAGGTATGTTGTCCTTGTCAAGGTTTATCAATTTTTTTAGAAAACCAGTTTCTGAAAGAAGTAACTTTGCTGTTGTCCAATTAGGTTTCTTTTGCAGTAGAATGCAAACTGCGTTCATAACAGTCAGTACAAGGAAAGGAGGCCTTTTGTAGACTCTGCAATAGATGGTGAAAATTAATTAACTTCACAATGAAACTAAATGCATCCTCTAAATGATCTCAGGGGAGAACTTGCACAGGTTTTTTATTTTTTTGCAATGGGCAGGGGGCACCCACAATGGTACTTGAGACTCACTGGATCACACCTGGTAGCACTGATAGAGCACGTGAGAGCAGTGATCAAACTCAAATGCCCTATTCATGGTACTATTACTCTGGTCTCAAAATATTGATATATTTTAAAATTGATGGTATAGTAAAATTGGTTAGATGCAGTAAAACAAACACATTGAAAACAATTAAGTTACAAATATGAGTTACAATGACTATTTAGTGGAATAGAGTTTTAATTATTTTTACCAAAAATTTATATTTTATTCTAAAATTTTTCAGTGAAAAATGAATACAGGCAATAATCTACCTTAGTTCAGCAATATCAGCTTTATCCAGGGAATATAGACCCACAAGGGATTTTTCTAGAGCTGGCAGTACACTTTTCAGTTCATTGGCAATTTCCTACAATAAAATTGGAAATCGTTAATTACCTAAGAACAAATATTAAAATTTTGAACTTAAAATTATTATTTGGTAGTTTTATAAGCTCCATAAATTATGTAGCATGCATGACTTATATAAGAACATATGTGCTTATCCTGTTGGAAATATGTGTTACAGTTCTAAATATAGCATATTAGTCAATTCCTCAAGAGAAGTAATTGGCGAGTGTGGTTTTTGCTTCTTCATTAGACTCAGTGGAGTACCAATAATGCCTTTTGCTTTGTTTTGTTTAAGGTAAACGCCTGGTTTTGCAAAGAGGCTACTCCCAGTTTCATACTCTGGGCTGTTTCTGGCAGTGCTCAGGGGACCATGTGGTCCTGGGATCAAACCTGGGGCTTCCATATGCAAAGTATACTACCCAGTCCTTTGAGTTATCTCCCTAACAGTGCCTTTATTTTTGTTTTGGGGTTACACCTAGATGTGCTCAGGGCTCTATGCTCAGAAATCAGTCATAGTTGGACTTAGGGCATGATATACAGTGGCAGGGATTGATTCAGGGTTGGCTGCTTTTTAGGCAAGTGTCTTAACCCTTAATAATATTCTTATGCTGAGTGGTAGAATCAAAGGTGGAATTACTATAAAGTTAATGAAGCTTGACTTTTCAAGTCCTCAAGTGCACAACCCCACCCTCCCCTTGGGATCTTTGCCAATATTTTTGTAGGTTGTGCACCTTTTTTCAGACTAGCAAAAATAAGAGATTTTAAATTCAGTCAAGATCGTTTTCTTTGGGTATTTTGAGTCACACTTCATTAGGTTTCCTATCACGGCAGGTGGTGCTGGAATAGTTGTGAATATTTTGGGGACCTGGTTTTAGGAAGTGGAAGTGGGGATTATATTTATATTGCTCACATTCTTTTCCCTATAAATTATTTCAAGTATCTCAAAAAGGAATGAATTCTAGAAAATTCTGCTGTTCAATGTTCCAACTTAGTGATGTGACTATAAAGTATGGGTTCAGAAGTCCTACAACACAGAAACTGATTGTGATCCTGGAGATAACAGACAGTTGAGTTGCCAAGGCCACACCTGGTGTATGTGATTGGAGTCAGGGATTGAATTTGAAAGTTGGCACTTTGTCACTGACCCATCTTATGACTCACATTTATTGCGGGGGAATAGGGAAATATTACTTTTAGTTTTAATTATGAACTAGTCATTTTGTATTTATTGGGGGGGGGAATTTTGGCACTACACCCAGGATTGCCAGGGGATTACTTATTACTCTGTGCTCAGGGATTACTCCTGATAGGGCCACGGGCACAATATGGGGTGCTGCAGAGCAAATCCTGATCAACTGCATGGAAGACAAGTACCTTCCTCACTGTACTATCTCTCCAGGCCCCCATTTTGTATTATTAAAAAAAAATTTGTGACCAAAAATTGTATTAACTTTTGGATCCTACAAAAACTGAATTTGCCCGTGAAGTCAAATGATTCTTTGTGGCATGGCAAAAATAAGCCTTATTAATGCCTACATATCCATTTTCCTTTGGCCTAAAAATTGAAAAACTGAAATTAAGCTGTATTTGTTTAATACATTTATGAGCAGGGCCACTTTCATGTGATCAGACTCATGGAGGTTATGCTCCTTCCAGTGAAAATCATGACATCTAGAAGCATAAGAAAATTATTGCAAACTGAAGTGTAGCCAGAGTCTGTGTCCCCATTTCCTAGAGGCTCAACACATTGCAAAGCCCTGTAGTTTGCCTGTCAACAAGTAAAGGGGTTTAACCTATCATTTATACTAAGTTAGCTCCTAACACATGGAAAGGTAGTTCAGCATCTCCCAGAGAAACTTTGGATTGAAAATAATGTTAAAAGGGGAATACACATGAGCAGTGAGGAAAAAGGACAAGTCTTATTCTGGCATGAACCATCAGTCACATAATAAGATGAAAACAAAATAATTCGACTACCAAGAAACCAGTCACAGATTTTAAAGTTATCAGATAAGAATGTATCTCAGTAATGTTGCATGCAGTATGTAGTTGTAGCATGATCACGATCACGATCACAACCATCCTGTTGTTCGTCGATTGCTTCGAGCAGGCACCAGTAACGTCTCCTTTGCCCTAGCCCTGAGATTTTAAAAAGTGCCATGTTCAAGGCTCTTTCAGGGTTAGGAGAATGAGACCCATCATTGTTACTGGTATTTGGCATATTGGGTATACTTACATTCGGTAGCCTGCCCCATTTTGTCCAAAGTAAGAATGAGATAATAAGATTTGCGGCCGCACACTTCTGGGAGATCTCAGCCTCGTGGTGGTGGGGGGGGGGGGTTGGAGGGGTGGGGGGTGGAAGGGGCAGTTGGTGGGTGTGATCCCTGCCTATTGGAAGATGGAGGATCTAGGTGGAGGATGCTCAACCCCGATCCAAGCAGTCTTGGAGATCTCAGCCCTGGGACCCGCATGCCTTTGTTCCTCTGCCGGTACCTTCATGCATGTGGAGAGTGGTTTCAGCATGGTGGTGGCTGGTTCTGGAGGTCTTCGGCTGCCGGAGCCCTGGTCGGGGTGGGGAGGGAAACTCAACCCGCTCCCCTCCAAGGGGCTCCGGCGAGGACAGCCAGGAGCGGGGGCAGGAGACTCTGTGCTGTTCTCTTCCGGGAGCTGGGTTTTATAGTCTCTGGGTCTTGGCCGTTGATGGGATTACACAGCACATAGTATGCTTTACATACAGGAGATCTGGGTTCAACCTTTTAATGCAAGCATGTAGATTAGGGGACCCCCTCCTCTCTTCCCTTTAGCAATGGAATTCCTTAGTAAAACCACCTAGCCCTAAGGCTGTCAGGACACACCTTGTGGCTACAGCAACTAAAACCAACTAAGACCTTTACCTAGACATATCCCAGATCAGAGAAGGTGGGACTTAATCTCTGAGACAAATTCCAGAGGAAACAAAGGTCAAGAAAAGGTCAAGATGGTATTCAAAGACCATCCCAACTCTGGGCTGGAGCGATAGCACAGCGGTAGGGCGTTTGCCTTGCACGCAGCCAACATGGCCGACCCGAGTTCGATTCCTCCGCCCCTCTCGGAGAGCCCGGCAAGCTACCGAGAGTATCTCGCCCGCACGGCAGAGCCTGGCAAGCTCCCCGTGACGTATTCAATATGCCAAACACAGTAACAACAAAGTCTCCAATGGAGACGTTACTGGGCCCGCTCGAGCAAATCGATGATCAATGGGAGGGCCTTTACTTTTTACTTTATCCCAACTCTACTTCCCTTGGCAACCACCCTAGCAACGGACTTTTACCTAGCTAGAAGCTCCACATGGGGCTGATTGGAGAAACCCTATAAAAGCTGGCTTGAACAAAGCCCATATGCTGCCCGAGCCCATATGCTGCTTGTGCCCATGTGGCCGAGCACATGTGGTACCCAGGCACATGTGTCAACTGCATCTCCCTTCTTGAGATGTGTGCTGGGGCTCTCTCTGCCTTTGGAGAAACCTGTGTTCTCTCTTGTGCACATTACTCTCACTTTTCTCTCCCCCCCTTCCTCTTCCTCTAAACCTCCAAATAAAATCTGTTCTGCTTCACTGTTTCTCTACTCTGAAATTTATTTTTTTGAGATAGGACAAAGACCTGGAAGCCTGGATAAGGCCTAATACTGGCTTTATTTTCCTGTAAAGAGTAATTCTTTGCTTCAGCCCGAGTCTGTGGCTTCCTGAGAAATTGGGTGGTGGGGATTAATTCCTGAGCTGGGAAGACCAAGTAGATGGCCGCCTGGTGGAACAGGAGGGTCTCTGGCTCATGCTGCGCAGGAACTCATCCCCAGACTATCAGCCTTCCCAGCCCTTGTGGGGTGGCAGAGGTGGATTGGGAGAAAGTGCCTTCTCTCTCCTTTCTGCCTCACATAAGCCATCTGTGGGCCCACCAACTTCACTTTGACACAGAAAATTCAAGTAAATAGTAGCACTGTAGCACTGTCCTCTTGTTGTTCATCGATTTGCTCAAGCGAGCCCAGTAATGTCTCCATTGTGTCTCCATTACTGTGTTTGACATATTGAATATGTCACGGGGAGCTTGCCAGGCTTTGCCATGCGGGTGAGATACTCTCGGTAGCTTGCCGGACTCTCCGAGAGGGGTGGAGGAATTGAACCCGGGTCGCCGCGTGAATGGCAAACTCCCTACCTGCTGTGCTATCGCTCCAGCCCAAGTAAATAGTAAAATTACAAAAAGGACTGTTTGAGATATATATTCACATTCATCATTATTTGTTGTACTAAACTTTGCTCTGGCTAATGCTTTGGGAAATCAGTTAATGAAAACTTTTTGTATATATAATTTATACTATATGACCACATACATGTTGAGAATTTAGGATTTTATTTTTTTATTTTTAAAAAATCAACACCAATCCCACCATCATTACATCTTCCCATCACCATTATTTTGAAGTTTCCCACCACCACTCAAGCCTGTCCCACAGGAAGATGCTAGATAATTTATTTTGTACTGCTTGTTATGAATAGTATAAGATGTCTGTAAGTGTCTATCTCATTGTGATTCAACAAAAAAGAAAAAAAATAGTATGAGATGGGATTCTAAAAATTTAAATAATTGGGGTCTGGAGCCATCTCTGCAGCAAGCTGGTTCTGAAATTCATTTGTGAGTCTCTGGATCATTATCATGCTTAAAAGTGGATTATATATATATATGTATAGAAATATAAATTATATATACACACTCTATTATACACACATTTGTTATATAATATGTTTACATAATATATAATATATAACATTATATATGTTTTATATATATATACACACACATATCTATATTATATGGGTTTACTTGATTGGAATCTTTCCACTTGGTATTTAGTTGAAATGCCACTTTGCACTTCCTTTTGTGCTGAGATGTGATTACTAATTATACCAGAACCAAGCATTTAATTTACTAAACCACACTCATTTCTGCTGGGATTGACTGCAATCCAGACTGAGAATTGACTGGAGAGTATGCATGGCCAATTTAAGAGATGATTATTCAGTTAATGAGAAAAATAACATATACTGAACAAGGTAATTCCTAGAATCGCATTGTTCCCTGCAGTTATTCCTCTTAGAGGCCACACACACTTTTGACATGGTCTAGGAGAATGCCAGTTTATTGTACCCACAATGAACTTACCTGCCTCTTCCTGGGATTGTAGGTGTCAAGGACAGGGATAATGTGTCTTTGTATTTTTTTTTTAAATTTTCAGTAATAGTGTCTAGTTATAGTAGGTTCTCAATAACATTTATTCGTATAAAAATGGGAAAAAATGGGGGCACTTTCTATTTAAGAGAAATCAGCCCAACCTTTAAATCTGGGGGAAAGGGAATAATTTTTCAAATACCCAAAGATTTTTATTGGTTGCATCTTAATTTTACCTGAGAATACTCTTCCACAATTTTCATTTCTTCTGCCATAATTTCTTCATTCTGTTTAACAAGCATCTGAACTTTCTCGACGGTATGTGATTCTTTCTCCAGCTTTTTCTTTAGTGTTTCTTTTTCCTAATGAATGAAACACTTATTCTTAGGATGAATTATGAAAGACACAGTAACATTGTTTAAAGAGAAATTCAAATAGACCCTTTCATCATTAGAAGATCTATCAAAATCAGCTAATACATTTAGTAGCCTAATAAATATGACAACAATAAATATCACTTCATACAATGTTTATAAGTAGTATAAATAGTATTGATAAGTAATTATTTTTTGAACACTTTGCAGACCACCAGTCACTATAGCACATTTTAAGTGAATTTAATGAATAACTTAAGCATTTTTTATGTAAGTGTCTACAGTGATTATGCAACTGTCATCATTTAATTATTGAAATATAATCATGAGATTCTATCAAGACTATTGTTATTGAAGCTGGTCCAAAGAAGTTAAGCATTGAATTAAAAATTAGAAACCAGAAAACTTGTCTGGGCAGGGATTGTTGGAAATGTTGAGAATGCCTCCTACGCTTGCATAGTCCTAAAGAGTAAGAGGCTGAAAATCTAATTAAAATCTTTGCAGTTACATTAGAAGTTGCCTTGAAGGGGGAATTTATTGATCATCCTGGTGCCCATCAGTATCTGATGCACCCTTCGTAAAAGAGTGAATCCTGTTCCTTTTCCCTATAAAAACTTCTTTTGACCATAGAACAAGATCTTTTTGGGGGTTGTGGGGACACAAATCTGCCGTGTTTCAAAGCTTTTTTCTTTACTTGTCAGGGTGTGTCTTGCCCCTTGAATGGCAGTGAAACTGACCCTTCAAAATTACAATTTTGAGAGTTAACTAGAAGTGGAGTCTTGACATGGAGAGCTGATCTTGTGGGCAAAGTGCCAAGCAGATTCCTCAGCTGATAGGGATCTTTGTCTATTACTGCCCTTCCCAGTGGATTATCTCCCTCTCTTTCCCAGTTTACTCTCTGCAGCCTCCCATGTCACTCTGGACAGATCAGAGAAATTTCTATGGTAAGTTGACTAACCACATGTTTGTGAACACTTCTTTGTATGCAGGAAGGAAAGTTGCCTTGGAATGCATCCCAAGAGTGCCTTTCCCCTTTGTGTGGACTACTTTCCCTGTCGACTTGGAGCAATCTTTTGTATGCTTTTCTTAGTAGGGAATAGTTGTGGAATTTCCTGGATATCTGTGAATTGTTGCATCAGTGTTTGACAATTGTTGTGCCTCTTACTTACGGGGCTGGTGGAAAAGCAGGCTGGGAAAGGGAAAATTTGAAATTGAAAACATTTCCCACCTCTTCATAACTCTGTAAGGTTAAGTCAGGTTAAGTCTGAAGTAGAAACCACCATGTCCAGATGATCTGGTTTAACTAGTTAAGAAAGAGTAAAGACTGAATTGGCATTAGAGACGAGAGAAATGGGGGTCTGGAGAGTAACTAGCAGTTTGAGAGACCTAGATGTCATATAGCTAGAAATATGTGCTGAGTTTTCCTACCTACCCCATGACATGTTCCAGGCCTTTGTAAAACCATGGCTTACCAGGGATGGAACCACATGTCTTCCATAAGAAAGCATAGCATAGCAGATAGGGCGTTTACTTTGCATGTGGCCGACCTGGCCGACCTGAGTTTGATTCTTCCAACCCTCTCGGAGAGCCCGGCAAGCTACCGAGAGAATCTCGCCCGCACGGCAAAGCCTGGCAAGATACTCATGACGTATTTGATATGCCAGACACATTAACAACGAGTCTCACAATGGAGGCATTAACTGGACCCGCTTGAGCAAATTGATGAACAACGGGAGGACAGTGCTACAGTGCAACCTCCCATGCTTTGGAAGAGATTGGTGGGTTGTTTTATTCATGTGCATTTTAAGTTTTACTGTAATTTTTTACTGCGATTTTGGGTTTGTTTGTGAATCAGAAGGTGTGGAGCATTTATTTTTTCATATTTTCCCTCATAACTTTTTATGTATTGCAGCATCTAGGCTCTGTCTTTAATAAGATGGAAGTTTTTAAAAAAAACTAAAAAATTCATTGGTCAGCGGTCATTAGAGACTTTTGAGTTTCAAAAGCTGCACTGAGTTCAAAACTGTACATCTAAGGGAAGCAAAAATAGAACGGGCTGATGAGAGACTGGGAATCATAGAAAGTAAGATAGGAAGATAACGTTATCTTCTCTTCCTGCCTGCCTGTTTGAAATCATTGTGTTCATTGTGACCTTTATGAAGGGATTTAAACATACGTTTAGGGATTCAAAAATTTGATCATAAAGAATATAGATGTGTGTTTTAAATAAGAGATAATGAATAGAAATATCGTTGTTTAAGGAGAAAAAGGAATCCTGTTTTTTTCCCCATGGTATGTCTTTCTATTTATTTGTTTCTTGTATTCTTTTAATTTATAAACGATTTTCAAAGTACTATTTTGTGAAGTTGATTCCTAGGTTCTTAATTAATTTTAATGCAATTGTAAATGGAATTGTTTTGTTGATTTTCTTCTCTTTAAAAAATAACAATTGGTTCTGAAATTTTGAAGAATACAAAATGTGTATTTACAAGCACAAATAGCAATTCTACTACTTTTTAAAATAATTGTGTGTTTTAAACTATTAGTCTCTTAAATCATGGAAAAAATAACAAGCACATTAAAAACTTCTTAGAAGTTTTTAATATTAGCTTTCATAATGGCTCACATACTTATTTTCATCAAGATTCTATCTCTCTATACAGTATTTTTAAAAAAATTTAAATTTTAATTGAATCATTGTGAGATACAGTAACAGACTTACAAATTTACGTGATTACATTTCAATCAAACAATGTTCAAGTACCCATCCCTCCACCAGTACCCATTCTCCACCACCAATGTTTCCAGTGTCCTTCCGGCCACCCCCACCCTTCCCTACCCCCTGCCTCTGTGGCAGACACATTCCCTCTTATCCTCTCTCTCCTTTTGGGTGTTATGGTTTGCAACATAGGCACTAAGCAGCCATCATTTTATTTTCAGCACGCACCTACTGTCCCCAGTGATCCCTCGGGAGGGATGGAGGGGGAGGGGCGGAGGAATCGAAGGTGGAGGAATTGAACTCTGGTTGGCCCACCAGGCCTCCTGCAAGACAAACGCCCTACCTGCTGTGCTATTGCTTTAGTCCGCCTCTAATAGAGGGTAGAAAATTAAAAAGGTAAAATATGGGATCTCAACTCTTGTTCGTAGGGAATTTCAAGTTTACTGAGATAGACTGGTGTGACTAGAGAAGTTTCACTGATAGCAGATGTCACCATTAGTGCCTTGCTAACACAGGGAACTTAAAGGCAGCCTGGGACAAGAAGAAGCTTGAAATTTTCCTTTATGGTGTAAAAGCCAGGACTTTTGAAGAGTGAAACATCAGTATCTATTATTATCATCTGTCCTCTACTCAGGGTTAAAAGAAAAATCCTGGAAAGCAGTTATTACTTTCAGTCCATAAAGGGGGGATAATGAAGAATTCTACAAACCAGATTATTAAGATGGAAGAGACCCAAGACCACTTTCTGCTCACTACACTGATTTGAATATCACCGGAATCATCATTGGTCTGAATCTTGGGTAATCCTTTACATGGCAGGTAGGAATATTAATATATTTGTTGAGAAGAAGACAGCAACTTCATGCTTAATCGTATCTCCAGAACTTCTTTCAGCAAAATAATGTGGGTAATTAAAATTAACCAGAATAGAAAATTTATTTATGATCTCTATTCTGGCTGTAATTATGCTGAATTACTAGTGAACTTGATCAGAAATAAACCAGTTTGTCACTAATTATTCGGCAGGTTAGGTGTGAAGGTAGAGAGAAAAAATGTGTTTCAGGAGAGTATTTTTTGTGTGAAGCCCAAATTCTAGTCCTCTCAAATTTTTGAAAATCTTACTTTTTGCTGGTAGAGTGGAACAAAATCTGAATTTATCTAATAATATCTGATTCTGACTTTCTGAACTAGAGTTTTCAGTTTTTTGGTGGTGACACTTAGTGTTGAGAAGTCTTACTGACCCTGTCTAAAGCCAGACAAGATGGAGATGTGGAGCTTGATACAGACTGTAGAGAGCTGAGTACCTGAGAACCTGTATCTGAAGTTCCAGACCCATAGTTCTAGGAATCTTGACTGGATTTTCAACTGACTTCCATTCAGACCTTTTTCTACTCTTTGTTCTCTAGAACTGCCTATTATACAGTCAGTTTTAACTCAATGCCTCAACTTCCAATTCCATAGAAATGGAAGGAAGGGGATAATGCTGGCTCAGAGAAATTTAGAACCAAATTCAGCATTAGAAATAAAAAAATTTGACAGTTGAAAATGCTGAGCATGTTTTTCATTCATAGTCCTAAAGAGAAAAGAGGGTGGAAACTTTAATAAGAAATCTGAATTTGCTGGTTAAAGAGAGAGTACAGAGGTTAAAGCACTTACTTGCCTTGCCTGAGGTTAATCCTGATTTGTTCCTTGTCACAACAAAGTCCCCCAGGAACCATCAGGAGAAACTCCAGAGAACAAGGTTGGGCATGGTTCCCTAACACTATCGTGTGTGGCCCAAGCCATAGGCCCCTGCCCCCACCCTGAAAGAAATCTTTGTTTGCAGTTAACATTGCACATGTACATCAGGGGATCAGCCCATGAGGGAATTAAAATTACTCTGGTATCCATCCACCAACTACCCTTTCTAAAAATGTGATTCGCTGTTTCGTTTCGTATAAAAACTTATTTCTTGGAACCATGCAGACATTTTTTTTTTCATGAGAAAGGGGTACAGGAGAAACCATTATGGCAGTGGAACATCCTGGAGCCTTGTAGTTACACTGTTACACTGTCACTATTTCTCACATTTTACACATAAGAAAGTTGAGACTAAAAGATGTTACAGAGCTGCATAGCAATGCTGAATTTTTTTACCCATACTCGTCAAATAGTTTTATTTTTGTCTTCAAACACTGTTCTATATTAAACTGTAAAATCTTTAAAAGAGAGTTCCAGTCACACATACGTTTTTTATTCTTTCTAGTTGTGGACCAAGGTTCCCAACTTCATTTTGCATATCTGTAACCAGACTGGCTGCTTCCAGAATCTTGGCCAAACCCTTATGAAGATTATTCCTGGATGGAAGAAGAAGTATTTAAGCAGGAAAAAAAATATAATATCAACAAAAACAATTCATTAATACTCAAAAGAATTATACTTAATGGTTACATGGGGTTTAAACCAGAGATACAAAATGGGCTTAGTATTTGAAAGCAAATCAGTGTACTCTGCCTTAATAATGGTAAAGAAAGAAGAAAAAAGAGCTGCATAATTATGTTAATTTAGAATAAATTTTTTGATAGAATTTATGATAAAGTTATTACAGGGGCTGAGGAGACAACTCAAAGGGCTAGTGTACATGTGTAAGATTCTGTTTCAATCCCTGGGACCACATGGTCCCCTGAACACTTGGAGTGATTCTCCCCCACCACCCTCCCACAGCAATACCCTACCTGGTGTGGTCCATAAACAAACAAAAAAAATCAACCACACAATAAATAAGACTCTTTTAAAAACACAGAAGTAGTGAGTCAGTTCCTCAATTAGATAATTTCTACTCGAAATCTGCAGAGACTAGTATACTTAATGATGAAAGATAGAATGGTTTCTCCCTAAGATGAGGAATAAGACAAAAAAGTACATTATTGCTTGGTCAAACGGGAGCTCAATTTTTAATTTTTGAGAATCGTCCATACTGTTTTCCAAAAGGGCTGAAAGTATCATGTTAAGCGAAATGACTCAGAAAGAGAGGGATAGACAGAGAAAGATTGCATTCATCTGGGGAACATAAAGGAACAAAATAGGAGACTAACACCTAAGTGTGGCCAAGATTAGTACCAGGAGGTTCGCTCCATGGCTTGGAGGCCAGCCACACATGCTAGGGGAAAAGGGAGCTCAGATATAGAAGGGAGCACCAAATAAAGGGTGTAGGGAGGATCCTCCCAGGATGCGAGAAGCATGCTGAAAGTAGATTATAGACCAAACATGATTGCCGCTCAATGCCTCTTTTGCAAACCACAACACCCAATAGGAGAGAGAGAACAAAAGGAAATGCCCTGCCACAGAAGTAGGGTGGGATGGGGGGGATGGGGGGTGGGAGGGATACTGGGATCCGTGGTGGTGGGAAATGGGCACTGGTGGAGGGATGGGTATTTGATCATTGTATAATTGAAACCCAAGTAAAAAAATTTGTAAGTCTACAAGTGTACCTCATGGTGTCTCACTAATAAAATCTTTTTTAAAAAGTACATTATTGATACTCTTACTAGAAACAGCATTGGAAATCTGTAACAAGGTATGATATTAAAATAAAAGACATATTGGATACAGAGGACAAAATGAAACTGTCCCTCTTTGCAGATGATGTTATAGTTTATATAGAAAGTCCCAAGGGATTTGAAAATAAACTTCCTCTAACAAGTAAAATTCAGCAGCCATAGTATACAAATATTAATAGAATTTCTGAATGCTAAAAATGACTATGTGCACTAAAATAAAAACTATAGTTACTAAAATAAAAACTATGCTACCAATTGTAATCACTCAATAAAATGAAGGTTGGATAGCATGTATGGGACTTGTTTACTCAAAGCTACTGATGAAAGAAAAAATTAAAAAGATAGTAAAGTAAAAAGTAAAGTAAAGGCCCTCCCGTTGATCATCGATTTGCTCGAGCGGGCCCAGTAACGTCTCCATTGGAGACTTTGTTGTTACTGTGTTTGGCATATCGAATACGTCGTGGGGAGCTTGCCAGGCTCTACCAAGCAGGTGAGATACTCTCGGTAGCTTGCCGGGCTCTCCGAGAGGGGCGGAGGAATCGAACTCGGGTCGGCCATGTTGGCTGCGTGCAAGGCAAACGCCCTACCGCTGTGCTAGATATTCTGTAATAATAAATTGGATAGCAATTCACATAGAGATGTCAACACTCATAAATTAATATGTTTAGCAAAATTCTTAAAAATCATAGTAAGATGTAAAACATATTGTAAGTATAGATGTAGAAATAATATCAAATTTATATGGGACAACAAATGAGCTAAGCTAATAAAATTCACTTGGAAAGAGAAGAATAAAACAGTCTAATATACTGTTATAAAATACATACTTGATTGAAAGAGTCTTTTAGTACAATAATAAGGACTATATGATACTAGCAGGAAAATAGACATAGTCAATCTATAGAAATGACTTAAAAATTCATACACACACGAGCATATATCTAACTGATTTCTGACAAAGGAACAAAAACAAAATAATTATTTCAATAACTTGTACTGGAGCAATTGTTTTAAAAACATAGAAGCCTAAGACAAAAATTTACTCAAAATGAGTCATAGAAATGAATGTAAAAGATAAAAGTATAACAATTTTAGAAGAAAGCAGGAGAAAATTCTGTAGGATCTATGGCTTTGTGAAGTTTTTTTTTAGACAGGATAAGGGAAGCGTAATCAATAGGATCTGGTGACTTGTGTGAATAAACAATTTGCACAAAACTGAATAAGATTAGTTATATGAATACTCAGATGATTCCATTTAGCGTCATTGCTTTCAAAGATATTCAACAACTTTAAATGTTACCAATGAAGAATGTTCCGTGGGACCTTAACAAAGCTGAGTAAAATGAGACTTTAACCCTTTATTTTCCAACTGCTGTGGTTGAGGTCGCTTCCTAGGTCAGGCATATACTTGTTTGCCACACAGAAACTACTTTAAACTCTTCCGTGAGTGACAATAAAAAATTTCATTGCCCTGGTTTCCCTGCTAGCCTTTGGAGAATATGTGATTGCCAATGACTCTTACTTAATCTGCCTTAGTAGTTTTTTTCTTCTTTTTGGGTCACACCCGGTGATGCACAGGGATTACTCCTGGTTCATGCACACTCCTGGCTCATGCACTAAGGAATTGCTCCTGGTGGTGCTTGGGGGACCACATGGGTTGCTGGGAATCTGGGAATCAATTTCGGTTCGGCCCAGTGCAAGACAAACTCCCTACCCTCTGTGCTATTGTTCCAGCCTCTGCCTTAATAGTTTTAACTGGCTCAACTCCAGATTGGGAAACTATCTGGAGTTTATCCTTCAAGAGACAGTCATGGCCATGGTCATTTTCATCCAAATGCCTAAGATATCCAGAATAAATTTGGCTCATGCCGCAGTGAGAATAATTCAGAATGACTGAGGTTTTTTTTTTTTTATTAGAATGTCCTACTCTTTATTTGCTAGTTATGTGGCAAGTGAAAGGAAGGGCTTACTTACCACCCATGCTAGAAACTTTTCCACATCTCCACATAGATCCTGGAGGCAAGGTTTAACTCTGCCCCAACCACATTCATTCATATTTTTCTCCTAAGCAGAGGCCTATTGCTACCATTTTTATCTTGCTTGCTTATTTTGTTTCTTCCCAATGAAAATATCAAATCCATAAAAAAGTAAATAAATGTGGCTCATCTAGGTCTTAGCAAAATACCATGGGATCCATCTGGGACAGGGTTTAGCAGATGCTACAGGGTCATTTCTTCCTCCCTGCATCTTCCAAGGAGACTGTTCTGATACTGTTTCTCGATATCTGCTGTGTTCTGATCCCATATTCTTCCCAGGTATAGCCAAAGGTGCTATAATTGCCAGGCCATAGCAAGATTTGGATTTTTCCACCACAGGAAGACAGTGTTGTATCTTTTGGCTCTGTGCTGTTTCATGGGAATTGAGGAGAGGCCCCTTTGGTTGCTTGTGTCATTGTCCATGTGTATACTAAACTGTTTAGATTTACAACAAGAGCTCATTGCTGATTTGCTAGCTGCCTCAGCCAGCCTTGCCTTGATGGAGTCTACTCACTGTGGAGGGAGCACTCCAGCTTGACTCTTTAAATGTCTTCTACAGTTTTTGCCTTTTTGCTCTCACTGAAAAGGCAAACTTGGGCTTACTAAAGAGCATCTACTTTTCTTTTACCAATAAAAGTAAGAATGCAATTATTTTACGTTTTTGTTTGATCTCTCTCTTACCTCTGTGTTTGCAATTCCTGCCTTCGTGATTTCAGCATGTGTGCAAAAGTTTCCATGAATTTTAAGTAGGTACTGGGAGAGATATGATAATGCCTTCCAGTTTCTTTAAAGTATTTTGTGCTCAATTCATTTACACTTTTGTAGATTTGGATGCATGTTGATACAAGTTTTTCTTGTAATTTCTGAAAAGTCATTTTTAAGGATTAAGAGAAAACAATCCAAAAATATATAGAACAACAACATTAAAATCATGTAGAGGACTTAAAATAGTTTATTTTTTTATTTTCTTGCTTTTTGCATCACACCCGGTGATGCTCAGGGGTTACTCCTGGCTCTGCACTCAGGAATTCCTCCTGGTGGTCCTCGGGGAACCATATGAGATGTTGGGAATCAAACTCGGGTTGGCCGCATGCAAAGCAAATGCTCTACCCGCTGTGCTATTGCTCCAGCCAAAGAATAGTTTATTGCTTTTGAGGTGTGGATATATTTATATCTAGTGAACAAAACAAAAGAAAAATGAATGTCCCTTTGTTTAACTTTCTTTGTTTTTATTTCTTTTCTTATTTTTTTCTGGTCATATCCTGTGGTTCTCAGGGACTACTTCCAGCTCAGGGCTTGAGGGTTGTTCCTGGAAGTGCTTAGGGGACCATGATGGCACCACACTGTGACTATGACCAGGTTATGGAGATCAAACCTGGATTCCTGAACCTTCCAGAACCCTCCTACCAGTTTTGACTTTGCTTAACTTTGAACTAACATGGTTAGGTTACCATGGTTACCCATCTTCAATCCAGCAAACTAGTGAATTATATGGTTGCTTTGGACTCAGTTACATCTGCTTCCTGCCATCATCCTTCTTGCCCTTTGCATTCTGGAGTACTTAGACAAAGATACAAGCCCTTTTCTTTGTCCTACACTGTTTCATGCCTTAATAAATTTTTATATTTGTCTACACCCTGTAAGATCTTCAGATGGATGAATCACTTAGGTGTGGTTTTAATTATGAGCTATTTTTGTGCTAGATTATAGCATTTCCTTGTACTTTTTTTGGTTGTAGCCAAGATAGAGAAATTTATAAGGAAAATTAGAAGGTTCTATCACAGCAGGTAAGACATTTGTTTTGAATGTGGCCGACCGGGTCATCCCAGGTTTGATTCCTCTGCCCCTCTCGGAGAGTTTGGCAAGCTACTCAGAGTATCTCGCCTGTATGGCAAAGCCTGGCAAGCTCCCCATGATGTATTCAATATGCCAAACACAGTAACAACAAGTCTCACAGTGGACACATTACTGGACCCGCTTGAGCAAATTGATGAAAAACAGAAGGACAGTGCTACTTACAGAAGGTTGCAGTCTTCTTACCATAGACTAGTATAAAAAATGGAAGTCATTTTCCTTTATGGAAATCTGCTTTTCCCTTTTAGGTGCAAAATAGTAAAGAGACTAAAGCAGTAAGGAATCTAGCAAGCATTAAAAATGGGTAAATTAACCAGCAAAAAAGGGAAATTAATCAAATCAAGATAAACAAATGATCTATTTCATAATTTTGCCTAGAGTTATCAATTTCACGATCATCTTGTTGTTCATCAATTGCCTCAAGCAGGCACCAGTAACGTCTCCTTTCGCCCTAGACCTGAGAGTTTAAAAAGTGCCATATTCAAGGCTCTTTCTGGGTTAGGAGAATGAGACCCATCATTGTTACTGGTATTTGGCATATTGGGTAACCACGGGGAGTTTGCCAGACTCTGCCGTGTGGGCAGGTTGCATTTGTTAGCCTGCCAAGTTGTCCAAAGTAAGAATGAGATAATAAGATTCATGGCCACACACTTCTCAGCCTCGTTGGTGGGGGAGGGAAGGGGGGGGGAAGGGGCAGTTGGTGGGTGTGACCCCTGCCTACTGGAAGATGGAGGATCTGTGTGGAGGATGCTCAGCCCCGATCCAAGCAGGCTTGGAGATCTCAGCCCTGGGACCCGCATGCCTTTGTTCCTCTGCCGGTACCTTCATGTGTGTGGAGAGTGGTCTCAGCATGGTTGTGGCTGGTTCTGGAAGTCTTCGGCTGCCGGGGCTCTGCTCAGGGCAGGGAGGGAAACTCAACCCTCCCCCCTCCAAGGGGCCCCGGCGAGGACAGCCAGGCACGGGGGCAGGAAATTCTGCGCTGTTCTCTTCAATTAAGTGTGCATTTAAATACCTAGCACTTTTTGATATTTAGACATTGTGTTATTTAATCCTGCTAAATTATCTGGAAATTCATTATCATTAGATTTTTTGGGGAGTGGGGTGGTGTGGTGTCACACCTGGCTGGGATCAAATCCAGGTTGGCTCTATGCAAGGCAAATGCCTTATCCGCTGAACTATTTCTTTGACCCCATTTGCATTAGATATTTGTGTGTGTGTGTTTATCAGTATCTTTTTTTTCCCCTAAGTTTTATTTATTGAATCACCGTGAGAGTAGTCACAAAGCTTTTCAGTTTAAGTCTCGGTCAGTCATACAATGATCAAACACCCGTCCCTTCACCAGTGCACATTTTCACCACCAAGAACCCCAGTATATCCCCCCTCCCTCTCCCCTCCGTCCACCTGTGTGGCATATTTCCACTTTATTCTCTCTCTCTCTACATCGATCACATTCAATATTATGACAGAAGACTCAACATTATTATTTGGAATTTACCCCAACATTCAGACTTGCCAAAAAGACATCATTAGATAATTTGTTTTCTATTGCTGATTATGAAGAGCATATGATGTCGCACGGCCACTATCGCGACCATGCGATTTGGGATTTCTGATATTTTAGTAATAAGCCTAGAGTGATTATTGCCAAAAGCCCCTGGGTTCTGAGATTGGTTTGTGTGCCTCTGGGATCATGGTCATTCAGGAGCTGGAGGAGGCGTTTGTGAGTGGCAGCCTGGGGCCTTGTCAGGGCGGGGAGCAGGGCCGATTCCACACCCCCCCCCCCCCCATTCCACGAGGCACCATGTGCCTCATCAATGCAGTCTCATACCTGGCTGTCCATTAGGCTCTAAAAGATGGAGGCCACCATGCCACCGCCGTGAGGGACAAACACCCTTCCCCTCCCAGAGCGTCATAGCACCATAGTTAAATGCACAGTCCAGATGCATTTTGGTTGGACGTTATATTTTGCTCATATTTTCCCACCACTATTCAAGTGCATTAGATTTTTAAAAAAAGAAGTCTTACTTACCTCTCTTTTCTCAAAATCCACATTTTCTCTTAAGAAAGTTCTGGTTACAAGAAGGAGAGCTTCTTCATTCCATTTCTCATACCAGTCAATTGTGCAGGCACTTATGATAGAAGAATATTGTTTGCAATGATAATGAAATTTAGGTTGTATAGGATTCATTGTTAAAAATATATGAAGATTTTTATATACTCTCTGAAAATCAATAAAAATATAAGTTGACAAAATACCATCCATTGCTTTGGAAAAATATTGTATTTAATATTGCACTTAAAATTTATTAAACTCTTGCTTTAGTAGGTGGAGTAGAGACTGATCAGTTATTTATTGAGTTCCTGCCTTAACCAGAGACTTTCCAAGGAAAAAGGACAAGTTCTACAGAGTTCTGAAGAAATTAAAGAGGTTCTTCTTTGTGAAACCCTACCCTCTTAGCTTCCAATGGCTGGGCTGGGTAGAAGCACTGAACAGTCAGTGCCTGTAAAAATTCTTAGAATGTGTTCTGGATAGAAGAGAGAAATATACTAGATGTTATTGGCATGACACTTTGGCTCTTTCCTTTTGGGTGGTGTGCACTTAAATGTAGAAACTCAAAGTGAGAAAATGAGATGAATTCAAACTGGACGATACAGAGAGAAGTACGGGTAAAGCAACAGGGGAGTTTTAATAACCTATCGCTGAGAGATGCATCTAAGCAGCATTAGGTCCTATTCAAAAGAGAAGTGACATTTAGAATGGACTCAGCAATAGGGCACCTATGAAAGATTAGATCAATAGAGGCTTTATGATTGACCAGTAGCTTAATAAACAATGAGCAACCAAACTAAAATATTCACGAGAAAGTACCACAGGTCAACTTATTCCTGGTACCAATTTCTGCCTACCATAAAGGTAAAAGGTAAAGGCCCTCCCGTTGATTGTCGATTTGCTCGAGCGGGCCCAGTAACGTCTCCATTGGAGACTTTGTTGTTACTGTGTCTGGCATATCGAATACTCTCGGTAGCTTGCCGGGCTCTCCGAGAGGGGCGGAGGAATCGAACTCGGGTCGGCCATGTTGGCTGCTTGTAAGGCGAACGCCCTACCCGCTGTGCTATCAAATTCATATACTGCCAGATATGGTGGCAGGATTTATTTGGTAAAACCAAGACATTACAGAAAGTACCTTTTGGAAGAATGTAAGTAAAGACTGTCTGTTGTTACTGCAACCAGACTGCTCAGCGAAAGTGCGAATCCTTGGGACAATAGAGTCCCACTCCTCATTTTCAAAGAAATCAGGCATTTTCCCCAAATTGATAACACTCTTCAGATCTTCCAAAAATGACTCCTTCAATGAAGCATAGTTAAGAAAATTATTCCTAGGACTGAGTAATAGTATAGTGGGTAGGGTGCTTGCCCTGCACAAGGCTGACCTGGGTTCAATCCCCAGCACCACATGTTTTCTTGAGCATACGAGGAGTGATCCCTGAGCTCAGAGTCAGGAGTAACCCCTGAACACCTCTGAGTATGGCTCTAAAAATTAAACTAAAATTATTCCTATAATCTGCTTCAAGCACACTGAACTGAAAAAAAATAGTGTTTAAAGAAGAATAAAAATAATTCTTTAAGAGTAAGCATTTCATAATTTTTGGGTGAGGAGGGTCACACCCAGCAGTGCTCAGGACTTACTTCTGTTCTGCTCAGGAATTATTTCTGGCTCCAGGTGACTTGAGGGAACATATAAGGTGCTGGGGGTCAAATGTAGGTTAGCTGAATGCAAGGCAACTTCCCTATCTTATGTACTATCTTTCCAGTCTGCATCTTATAACTTAAATTAGTCAAATATATATTTCTGAACAAAAATAAACTTTATTCATCCATCCATTATTCAAACATTAGAAAAGTACTATTTGGTACTGATGGTACGATAAACAGTGATGTTACACACTGGGGCAAGAGATATGAAAGGTAAAGGGGCAGTAAAGAATTGAGGAAGGACCTTGTTTTTAGAAGTTCATAGAAAAACCTCAATAATCTATAATTGCATTTGAATAATACACAAACTAGGAAAAAGCAGGGCTAAAGAATTATTTTAATCTCTATAAAGGGTTTCTATAAAGGGTTAAAAATAGGAAAGATAGGGGCTGTAGTGATAGCACAGCGGGTAGGGTACCCTGAGCATCGCCAGGTCTAATTCCTGAGTGCAGAGCCAGGAATGGCCACTGTGCATCACCGGGTATGACCCAAAAAGAAAAAAAAACGGGAAAGATAACAGATGAAGAATAAAAAGTTACTCTAGAGGAGTTATTACAAAAGTATGAACATTTTGAATGCAAATAAAAGAACAACGAGATACTGTCTCACATCACTGACACTGTCACACACCAGAAAGAACCAAAGCAGTCATTGCTGGTATGGATGTGGGATAAAAGGAACCTTCATTCACTATTGGTAGAAATGTCAACTTGCCTAATCTTTTTTGGAATTAATGACTCAAAAAGCTAAGAATTGAGCTTCTATCCGAACCAGCATTAGGAGCCAAAACAGTTATAGTTTGAAATAATACTAGAAAGTTTACACATCTGGGTCCTAGATAGTGAGAGAGGAAGTCCCAGTTTCCCATTGTCACCTACTGAAAGAAACTTCATTTTAGCCGTCATGTTCTACATTCTAAACATTCCTGTGGTTTTCCAGACTCTCTTTGAAACTAGGGAGTCTATAATTTCCCATGGCTATGCTTAAGGCTGAGTGGACTAAATTATGCCCAGGACTTGGACTGGCTCACAATAGGCTGAGAGGTAACAACAGGCTGTGCCAGGGAAAACAGTCATAGTAGTCCTATATAACAAAAACTACTATGGAAGATGACAGCATCATTGACCTAATTGGGAAAAATGGCTGTTAGACTAAACATCGACAGAGCCTCAATTATCAGAACATTGTGGGGAGCAAACGGGATCCTCTCGTTCAATCCAATCATGTTAAGAAGCACAAACACCCAATTTTCCTATAAACTCTCCCCCTGAAAAATGAGCTGGACTTTAGATTAGTCTTACACTAAGTTCCTTCCTGGTTGGGAGTTACTTTCTTTTCTTCTTTTTAATAAACTTTTCTAGCTTTCTAATTCTGAGCCTGTGCATCTTTATTATTCAGTATTTTGTTCTTGAAAATATTGAAGAACCTGGGAACTGTGGACCAACCAGAGATCCACAACCACCATTCTTGCATCAATAATACACAATGTTTCCTTGAAATTCTGCCACAAAGGTGTATATATAATTTGACATAGTATTTCTAAGTAGGTTTTGTGTTTTAAAGGATACAAATTAGGCGAAATAACACATAGGAAAAAAGTTGAGTGATTCTTATTTTTTGTTTCTAATAAAGAAAGTAGATTCTGCTAGGAAAATCCTGAAAGTTGGTAGAGAAATTACATCAGAAGGATAAAGGAGAGAACCAGAAGCTTAAGATGTGACAATGTTCCATAAATGACATGATCAAGTACTGTAACTTTACTTTACAAGTACTGTAGACAGATGGTAGTTTTATTGAAAACACAGATTACAAAGTAGTCTGACATAGGATAGATAAATTAAGACACACAGACTAATAATTTCTCCTGGTTCAATCAAAATGAAGTTTAAAAAGGAATATGAGAAATGCTTTTGTTATAATGCTTACATAAAACTATAGGATGTCACAAATTGGAATGCTGACTGAGAAAATAATTGATGTAATTGACTAATAAATTTGTGAAGGAGAGTTACTTACATTTCAAACAGGAAATAATAAAGACAGAGAGTACTTACCGCTTCCATGTTTGAATAAACAATTATCAAAACTGTGGGTGTCCCTTCTATTCCTGCTTGTACAAACCCCCTTTTAAATTCTTCTTTGAATAGTGTGTAGGAGTAATTGTGAGATATAGAGATTTCCTGAACTTTGTATTCTTTCAAATGACAGGCCAGTTTTGCACAAGTTTCTTTTCCACATCCAGAGATTCCAATCTTTAGAGGAAAATAATTCAATGTATGATTCCTGAATATGTTCTTAAAATATTTTAAGGCATAGTTATCTGTTTATAAGGGCTAGAACGTTAGTTAAAATTCCATAAATATTTTTATATGATTTTTGGGAGAGATATTAAGCACATTCAAGTATTTTATGAGCTTTTTAAGGTATTAATACACATTCAAAATTTTTCTCTTTTCTCTTTATAGTCTGTTAAAATATATGGTCACTGAAAAGATAAAATGATGCTAAAATTAAAATAGAAGAGATTTTAAATCATATGGAGTCATACAATGTGAAGTATTTTGTGTCTGACTTATTTATTTGGTATGACAGTCTTGAGATTATTTTATATTGTGTATGTTGGTTGTTCATTTGTTTTTCTGCTTTATTGGTTTTGACTTTCGGGCCACACCCAGTAGACCTCAGGGTTTACTCTTGAATTTGCAAGCAGCATTGCTCAGTATTTACTCCTGGATCTGCACTGAGGGATCAATCCAAGTGGGTTTGGGGACCATATGGGGTGCTGGGGGTTTAACCTGGGTTGGCTGATGCAAGGTAATTGCCTTATGATCTCTACCATCTCTCTGGCCACAATAATTCATCCGTTTTTATTGATGAAAAATATTCTATTGTATGTTATTCCATTTATTCTCATATATGGAATAACCATTTATATTTCATTTACTCATTCACTCACTGATAGATACTTGCATTGTTTCCATTTACTTGACTAGTGTCACAGTACTGCTAGGTTCAACTGTCTGACAGTAACTGTCTGCATACATCATCTTTTTCCATCTGTTCATTTTCAACCACTTTGATTCTTTGAATCTTTTGGCAGCATATAATTGGATTTTTGTTCTTTTCAAAATCCAGTCCTATAGGGCCAGGGAAATAACTCAATTTTTAGAATGTATGCCTACTATGTATAAACCCCTCAGTTTGATTCCTGGCACCACATATCTCCTCAAAACAATGTGAGGTAGAGTCTTGGTGGAATTTCCATTGAATATGTCCATGGAGTCCTGCAAGTACTGTATCCCAGCATTACACCATGAGGCCCTCATTTTAGAAGAAACATTGCTTGGAGTGGTGGTCTCTATTAGATAATAAAATAAGAGATTAGAGAAATAGTACAGTACTGGTACCAGTACAAAAGTCAGCAAGGCACTTGCCTTGCACATGCTAACATAGGTTTAATACCTGGTACTGCACATGGTCTCCTCGCACTGCTAGGAATCATCCCTAAACACAGAACCAAGAGGAAGCTCTGAGGAATGATCACGCTGAACAAGATCTGAGTGTTAAAAGGAGGTAAGGTATATTCTTGATAACCTTATAGTATCAGTATTGCAAACCACAATGCCCAAAAGGGGGCAGAGAGAGGGAGGGGGAGAGAGAGAGAGAGAGAGAGAGAGAGAGAGAGAGAGAGACTGTCATAGAGGTAGGCAGGGGTGGGGTTGTGGGGGTGATGGGAGGGAACCTGGGTGGGGACACTGGTGTTGGGAAATGTATGTACACTGGTGGCGGGTTGTGTCTTGGAATACTGTATGACTGAAATTTAATTATGAATAGCTTTGTGTCTATCTCATAATGATTCAACAAAAATGTAAAAAGAAAAATAGAGAGTAAGCCCTGAGTATTGCTGAGTGTTTGGTTTGGTCCTCAAACAAAACCAAATAAAATGAAATAAAAGTCAGTCTTATAGTCTCTACCTTTAATGAAAAATTAATATACCTACATTTAATGTCATGCTTGATTTGATTTATGCCTGCCACATTGTTGTTCTCGATATGCTCCATGTCTGTTTTTGTTTTCTATTTTATTTTTTATTTATGAAATATTTTGGGTCAGATTTTATAGTATTATATTTAATGCTTTATTGTTTTTTATTTTGTATTTTGAATTATTTTCTCATGATTTCTCTAGGTAATATACAGTTCTGCAAGGAGAGACTAATGGTCAGAGCCAGGAGTATACCTTGAGCATCACTGGGTGTGGCACCAAAACGAAAAAAAGCAAAAACCAAAACAAAACTCCAGACTCACAAACCAAATAAAAAGTGTGGTGTGTTATAAATTTTCTTGACCAAATTGTTAGTGCCCCTTCCAGCTTCTACTGTCAAAGCCCATATAACAGTCAGCATTCGTTCAGGGGACATTCAATAGGTATGAAAAATTGAAACATATCATTCATTTGACCTACTATAAATATCTACTAGTGATATTTAATTGGGGAAAATAGTTATAGGAGTAGAGAAAAAGAAGTCCATATTTTACCTTGTATATTTAATAAGGATTCTGAGGAAGAAGATAGGTTTATAGGAAACCAAATGTAAAAAAATGTTAAATGGTATAGTTATAGCTGAGAATTAGTGAGCTTTGAAAATTGTTCCATTAGGCATTCTCAGGAATCTTAGAACCTAACTTAAAAATGCAAACTTTTTATAGAAATGAAAAGAAAGATTTTTAAGTAAAATTCTATAGGTTTTGATCCCCCTCACCAAAAATAATCCCTCAAATTATTGTGATAGTTGTTTTGAATGCAAAAAGGTCATTGAAAAATGGTAAGAGTTAAATACTTATGATAAAACACAAAATAAAAAATTGTAATAGACTTAAGTCCACTGATCTTAAACAAATAGAATAATGTAGCTTGCATAAAAGAAAGCATGCTAGAATTTGTCTTCCAGAAAACTTTTCTCTATTCAACTTTTGGGAGCATTTTCAAGGACTTAATTTCCAATTATTCTAAGGAGAAATAAAACTTTATGAAAAGTTTTATAAACTCATATTTTAGGGCTGGGGAATAAACTCATATTTTAGGGCCAGGGAGACTGTACAGCAGGGAGGGGACTTTCCTTGCACGTGACTGACAGGAGTTCGATCTTTGGCATACCATATGGAGCCAGGAGAAACTCCTTAGTATTGCCAGGTGTGGCACAAAAACAAAAAATACTCATGTTCCTAAATAAATATTTTGGTAAATGTGCTATGATCAAGATCAAGATTCACCTGCACAAGTACTTTATTACTGTTGAAGGTATGGTGAAGATAGTGCCAGGGCCATCTGTTTTAATTGCTTAAAATGCCATCTAAATATAACTTACATTTTGATACATCTGTGTTGATACATTTCTCATGCAAATTCTAGAGAGGACAAGTTATTAAATTGAATGATTGCAAGCTCTCTAAATGTAATCTGGATAGAGGAAACTTCTATTATAAGCAAAGCATATTTTACTGAACTTCTTTATGTTTTTTCTGAAAACTTAAAATGAAAAATGTTTTTACCAGTAACATGTGACTTCCTGATTGACGAAGGACTCTTGATGCTCTTGAGATGTGCTGTATGGTTTCTTTAAAGAATACCACAGAATAATCAATCTAGAAGAGGAAATGGGACAAATAAACTTGATTTTAGGCGTAGTTCATTGTGGTTTTGCATGTTCATTGTGATTTTCCATATAAGGATACAGGAGTCAGAGGGGTCAGAGTATTATTCTTGTAGTTCTGTAATCTAGATTCAGTACAACGGGTTACTTTCATAGAAAACAAATTGGAAAATAAGGGCTAGCTCTACATCAATATTCTGGTGAGTGAGAAAGATCAAGAAAGTCATAGGTTTGAAAGAAGATAACAGCATCTTTTTTTCTTTTCTATTACTCTTTTTGGGATTCTATGAGCAAGGAGAGAACAGTAAAAGTCATAATCAATATGAATTCTCGTATTAACAACAGATTTCTCAGCAGAAAGCTCATAGTTAGAAGAGAACGAAATGGAAATATTCAAAACTTTCACTTTTTACTTTGTGATCAAAGTAAAAACAATAAAAAATAAAGTAAAGTAAAAAATCTTCAACCAAAAATACTTAACTAAGCTATCACTAGAACTAAAAAGTATTAAAGAGATTTTTTTTCAGACAAGATAAGTTAGATCCACAAAAGTAGCATTGCAAGAAATATAAAGAGACCTCTATAGAGTGAAAAGAAATCCCTCAATAAACATCAACATACCAGAGGCATAAAATTTGGGGTTGGGGGTGGTGGTGGTGGAGATTGAAAGAAAAGACTATAAGTTGAAAAAGATGTATGTGCACTTAGGTTAAATCGAGGGCTTTTTATAATAGTCATGATCTGAAAATAATTGAAATGCTGAGCAACATGAATAGAAAAAGAGGTTGTGGTTTACACAATGGAATACTACTCAGGTGTAACAAAAGATAAAATTTTGCCTTTTGCTACACCTTGGATGTGACCATAGGACATCATATTAAGCAAAATAAGTCAGGAGAAGGACAAACACCTGATGATCTAAATCAAAAGTAGTATATAAGAAATAAAGAAATGGAAAAAAAAAGAAATAAAGAAATGGAATAAAAAAATAAAGAAAACAAATCTTTGTGTTCTGTCAACAGAGTTGAGTATACCATGGGTGTAGAGTAGGGGAGATTATGGTGGAATAAAAGTGACATCTTCGTTGTCTACGCACCAACATCTCATTATGATGAAAGAGAAATCGAGAAGTTCTACATGGAGCTAGAGAAATTCTATAAAGAAGACCACACCTTCTACAAGATCATTGTGGGTGATTTTAATGCCAAGATAGGACCGAGAAGATCAGCTGAAGAACTTCACATCGGAACCCATGGCCTAGAATGGAACGAACAGGGTGAGAGACTGTCTGAGTTCATCATGTCGACCAAGACCATTCATGGTAACTCACAGTTCCAGAAGGCAGAATCTAAACGATGGACATGGGAGTCTCCCGGTGGACGATTCCACAATGAAATAGACCACATCATATTCAATCGACGGTTTTGCCTGACTGATGTCGCTGTTGTCCCAAAATTTCGAACGGGATCGGACCACCGTCTCCTTCGTGCAAAATTCTACTTCACAGAGCGGGGAGAAAGGGCTGCAAAGTTCAAAAAGAGAACTCCCAGAACGACCACCAACTGGGAACTCTTTGGTACTATTGCGGCAACATGGGAAGATGCCATTGTTGACAACATTGACGAGGAATACGATCGACTGGTTCAGCACCTCCATGAATGTGCGAGGAACGCCAAGAGAGATAGCCACAAAAAGTCGCCTATCTTCGAAAACTCTTGAGCTAATTCGCCAGCGTGGTTTGGCGCATGCCTCAGGCAACCGCAAGCTAACGTCCGAGCTTGCAAAGCAGTGCAGAGATGCGATCAAGGAAGACCTCAAAGAGAGAAGAGCAGAAGTACTGGTAGATGCGGCAGAAGCCGGGAAAAGTATTCGTAACGCCCACCTGTCCTTCGCCAACTATAAGACCAAGATGACTGCCCTCCGACGTCCTGATGGATCCATCACATCCTCCAGAACGGCAATGGAGAAGATTATCCATGACTTCTACTCAAATCTCTTCGATAGCCATGTCCACTTGCCGACATACCAAATTCCACAGGATGGGTATGTCGTTCCCAACGTTCTCCCTTCCGAAATCCGACACGCCATTTCGTCAGTAAAGAAGCAAACAGCACCCGGCCCAGACAAGGTCAGACCTGAACACCTGAAGAACCTGCCGTCAGTACTCATCAATACACTGGCTCGGCTCTTCACTCGCTACCTGTCTGAATGCAAGGTTCCATCTCAATGGAAAACCAGCAGGACCGTACTACTGTTCAAGAAAGGAGACATCCATGACATTGGCAACTATCGCCCGATCTGCCTATTGTCTGTCATCTACAAGTTGTTCACTCGAGTCATCCTGAATAGGATTGGCAGAACACTAGATGAAGGACAACCATGTGAGCAAGCAGGGTTCCGCAAAGGATTCAGCACCATCGACCATATCCACACGATAACCAAACTCATTGAGGTTTCTCGGGAGTTCAAGATGCCGCTCTGCTTAACGTTCATTGATTTAAAGAAGGCCTTTGATTCTGTTGAGACGGAAGCGGTCATTGAAGCCCTAGCCAATCAGGGCATTCAAGCCCAATACATCAGGATCCTCCGTGAGCTGTATTGCGGATTCACTACCAGGATCTCACCATTCTACAAAGAAGTGATCATTGATGTCAAGAGAGGAGTGCGGCAGGGTGATACCATTTCACCAAAACTCTTCAGTGCCACCCTCGAGAACATCATGCGACGACTGGAATGGGAAGGAATGGGAGTGAAGATAGATGGTCGGCAACTACACCACCTCCGCTTTGCTGATGACATTGTTTTAATAACACCAAACATCAGCCAAGCGGCACAAATGCTGGCCGACTTTGACCGTGAGTGTGGAAAGGTAGGACTACAGCTGAATCTTACGAAGACAATGTTTATGAGAAACAGCCTTGTTCCTGACGCCCCATTCGCTCTCAATGGAACGACCATCTCCGAATGCAACAGCTATGTGTACCTAGGTCGAGAGGTCAACATGACAAATGACCTGGCACCCGAGCTGCGCAGGAGGAAGAGAGCGGCTTGGAACGTCTTCAAGAACGTCGAAGAAATAGCTAAGAGGACGAAGAACCTCCGGCTCCGGGCACATCTCTTTGATTCCACTGTTCTTCCTGCATTAACATATGCCTCAGAGACCTGGGCCCTACGCAAACAAGATGAGAACGCCATTCAGGTCTCCCAAAGAAGAATAGAAAGAGCTATGCTTGGAATATCACGTTTCACTCAAATGAGAGAACGAATCCGGAGTTCTGACATCCGTCGATGATCAAGGATCAGGGACGCTGTCTCATATGCCAAGGTGTCGAAAATCAGATGGGCTGGTCACGTAATGAGATTTAAAGACGACCGTTGGACTAGAGCTGTTACTGATTGGATTCCACGGGATGTCAAGAGACCGCGTGGCCGCCCACCTACCAGATGGTCAGACTTCTTTGTCAAGGTCATGAACGATCGGTTTGAGGCCCTCCATGTTTTCCGGAGCGAAGAGATGCCATTGGGCTACACTAGCACGCGACAGGGACAAATGGAGACGTTACTGGCGCCCGCTCGAGCAAATCGACGACTAACGGGAAGTTAAGTGATTAAGTGATTAAAAGTGACATAGGATTAGGGTGGAGATGCAGTAACTTTGTGCACCAGAAGCATAAATATTAGCACTATCATAATCCACATTACATCAAAAACAAAAAATTAATTTAAGAAAAAATGGGTATTGTTAGAATGAACTTGATACTAACTTGCTTCAATTTAAAATGGTTATAAACATAGCACCACTCATATACCTTTATCTATATCTTAGTAACCTCAAAAAAAAATAAAACAACCATAAAAAGAACAGAAATGAGATAAAAATTAAATCCAAATCTTATACAAAAGGTACATGTGAAAGTATAAGGAAGATAATAAGAAAGATTTGAGACAAACTGAAGAAACATTCAGAAAACAAAGAGCAAAAAACCAATAAATACCTATATACTAATAATTTCTCTAAACATCAGTGGTCCAAACTCACCAATCAAAAGACACAGAGTTGCTAGAAGGAGTTGAAAATTACTCAGCTCACTGCTATATGCAGGAGACATATTTGAGTTCTAAAGAGAAATGTAGGCTCAAAGTAAAATGATGTAATAATTATACAATCAAATGTTAATCTAAAAGGACTGAAGGCCATTCTTAAAACAGTTAAAATACATTTCCAGATAAAAATGAAAAAGTGTCAGGGTTTTGCATTCTGTAATGATTAAGAATCCACCCACTAAGAAGACATTATACTCAATATTATGTATATGTGCTAAATCATGGCACTTCAAAATGCATAAAGGCACTATTAATATACAGAGAAACACTGACAGCAACAAAAAAAGTAATAGGAAATTTTATTATACTACTTACTTTAATGGGCATAACAGTGAGACAAAAAATCAACAAGAATCAACTAGCAACAAATAGATCAGTAAATCCTCAGACAATGACTTTAATAAAACCATTGTGATATATAAAAACTTTCACAAATTTTCTTTTACTGAACTATTTTTTTTCAATAATTCTACTTTCTTTTTTTGTTGTAAAAAGCAATGTAATATAAATGATTTTGTGCTTGCTAACGTGGCAGGCTTTGTGGGGGTGAGTGGGAAACTGGGGACAATGGTGGAGGGAAGGTCACACAGATGGTGCTTGAACATTGAATGGCCCCCCCCCCAAAAAAGGCCCTCCCCGTTGTTCGTCGATTTGCTCGAGCGGGCCCAGTAACGTCTCCATTGGAGATTTTGTTGTTACTGTGTTTGGCATATCGAATACGTCACGGGGAGCTTGCCAGGCTCTGCTGTGTGGGCGAGATACTCTCGGTAGCTTGCCGGGCTCTCCAAGAGGGGCGGAGGAATCGAACTCCGGTCAGCCATGTTGGCTGCGTGCAAGGCAAACGCCCTACCGCTGTGCTATCGCTCTAGCCCTTGAATGCCCAAAACAATTGTATTATGAACAACTTTGTAAACCACTTGTATTTAAATAAATTTAAAAAAGAAAAAAGAAAATAAACAAGAAAATAATAGCCTTAAATGAGGAATCAAGACAGATGAACATTGGGGCCAGAGAGAAATTACAGTGAGCAAGGCACCATCTTACGCATAATTGACCCAGGTTTGATCCCTGGTTCTCCAAATAGTTTCTTTTGCATCACCAAGAGTGATTCCTGAGAACAGAAGCAGTAATAAACTCTGAGCAGAGTTGAATGTGGCAGCTGAAGTAGTAAATAAATGAATCAATCAATCAATAAAACAAATGGGTTTAAATAATAACTTAGAGGACACCCAACCTCCCTAGAAGCTAAATATATATATATATATTTTTTTTCAAGTACTGATTGAGTTGAGGATTGATAACAGATTAATATAAAGTAAGTGTTGATAAAGATTATAAATTGAAATAATGTCAAGTAGCCATTCTGAGGCCATTAGTATAAAACTTGAAATAAACTACAAAAAGAAAATTGGAAAAATCTCAAGTGTAGGGAGAATAATAAACACATTGTTGAGTAATTGTGAAAAAAATCAAAGGAGAAGGGAAAAGTATGGAGACTAATAAAATGAAGAAATGAGTTAGCAGAACCTGTGGATTCAGTAAAAGCAGAACTGAAGTTCATAGTAATATAAGTCCATTCTAAGAAATAAGAAAAAGTTAAATTAACTAAATTTTCACTTAAGGAAACAGAAAAAGAAGGGCAAATGAGATTAAAATTTAGTAGAAGGTAATGGTAAAATTAGATGAGAAATAAAATAGAAACAAAAAAGACAATACAAAAGATCAAAAAACCAAAAGACAAGTTTTTCAAAATATAAAATTCATAAGCTTTTAGTTAGGCTCACCATGAAAAAAAAAAGAGAGTGGAAACTCTAGTAAATAGAATGAGAAATTAAAGAGAAATCCCAAGAGATAGTAGAGATATAATGAACAGCTCTATTCCAGTAAATTAAAAAATCTGTAAGGAATATTTTAAACCCTATAATCATATAACTTTCCTAGACTAATTGAGGAGAAAATATAAGACCTGAATAGACCAATTATAAAGAGCTCTCCCTTCAAAAAATGTGCAGAACCACTAGTGAGCTATAGTGAACCTTCAGAGATAATTAACACCTATCTTTCTCAACTTCTTCAAAAAAAATTGGAGAAAAGACAAATTCACTTTGTGAATTCACTTATGAATATTCACTTTGTGAATCTAACATTTTTTGTGTATGTGTGATACAAAAAGCAGGCCAGTACATCAGAGAAAAATAAATTTAAAGATCATGTTTTATATGAACACAGATTTAAAAAAAACCCTCAACAAATTCTTAGCAAACTGAATTCAACTAGGATTATATATCATGACCAAGTGGAATTTATTCTAAGGATGCAGTTGATAGTTCAACATATGCAAATAAATTAATGTAATACATCAATAGAAAAGATTAAAAATATTTTTATCATAGCATAAAAATCTTATCAACATAGTACTAATTGCATAGAATACCTTTGGCAAAATTAAACATCAATTTATAAAAAAAAACCTCAATAAAATGGTAATAGAAAGAACTTATTGGAACCCAATAAAGGTCATGTTTGACAAGTCCCAGTTAACAGCATACAATGCAACTTTTTCTCCTCTATCATCAGGTAAAGACATCCACTATTTGTAACAATAGTAAATATAATATTGGAAGCTCTAGTCAGAGCAATAAAAAGTAACAGAAATCAAAATTTTGAAAGATGTAAAACTCTCACTATACGCAGATGACATGGTAATATATGGAGAAAAATTCTAAAGACTACACTAAAAACAATAAACCAGTTTAGTAAAGTGATAGCAATAAAATCATTCTATTTTTTTATAGGATAAATAAATAAATCTATTGTGTTTCTACAAGCAAACTAGAAGAAGTAAAGAAAATAATCCTGGGGCCGAGAGATTACTCAGTGGCTCAAGCACATGTCTTTCAACTGTCAGGCAATGATTTTGATCCCTGTTGCCATCCACACAACTGAGCATAATACTGGAAACTCTAATACACACACACACACTCACACATACACACACACACACACACACACACACACACACACATATATATACTATATGTTACTCATAAGATTTTATATGATATGTTCTTACCCCCAAAGAGAATGAAGGCAACTTCCCTTGGAATTCATTGAGTACATGGGCAAGTTTATTATAATCACTGGTATTCTGATATACCTTTTTACTATGAGATTTATTTATATCCAAGAAATCCACAAATATAGTAGAGTCATTCATCAGTTTTTCTTTAGTCCACAGAATCTATGATATAATAATTTGACCATATCTGTTAATTCTAGAATTCTACTTATCAAAACTAATGCAGAGGGAGTCTGTGAACACTACTGGAGAGGACAAAACTGGTGGCAAGATTGTAAGGGGACATTGCATGTCCAAAACTCAACTATGAAGAACTTTGTAGATCATGGCACTTCAATAAAATAAAATTTGAAATGACAACAAAACTAACACAATAAATCCATGCTAGAGATCTTGCCACAAGATGTCTAGGATCAATAGTGTAACCTGTGGATCAATTTTTAGAATAACAATTTCAAATGCATGTAGTAAAAATAACAGTTATAAAATAAAGCGAATTTATTTAAATCCTGTTCTAAGGATTCTTTGTGGTTTTCTAGATGTCAGGTAAAGAACTTCTTTTGTGTGAATATTAACTCAAGACTCACCAACAATGAATGAATGAATAAAGGAAAATAATTTTTCTTCATGCAAGTATTAATTACTACCATAGGTCTGCAAGTTTGCAAACATGATTTCCTAACTTACTAGTTAATTCTTGTCTATTTTTCCCAAATCACTGCCTTTAAGAAGTCTAGCCATTTCTTCTCCCCTTTCTAAAGCTGGGTAGAAATTTTCCTCTTCCTTTGTTCCATCACTGTGGCATGTGAAATGCATGCCATGGCACTAAAGATGTATTATGCCTAATAAGTAAGGTTGAAAGGAGATGGGACTAACAGTAGTTCTATATAGTCTTCCCAACTGTCCTTGGTTAACGTCAGGTATTAGGAAGATGTTTAGCAAATGGTTGACTGAAAATTTAGAGGAAGTGTAACTTTATACTTTGGGAAATATGTGGAGTTAGAGGTACTGTGTTTGAATAACTTTTTAACTAGCTGTTTAACCTTAGGAAAATTCTTAACCTCACTCTGCCCCACTTCTTTTGGCATTTTTAAAAAATGAAAATAACAGGATCAACATCACAAGGATGTTATATTAAAACGAGCAATGATAGATAACATTCTTTTAACAGTGACTAGACACTTAAAAATATATTTTGACTTTGGGTTACACCAGCAGAGTTTAGGGTATACCCCTGGCTCTGTGCTCAGGGATCAATCCTGGCAGGCACTAGGGACCTCCAGGAGCCTGGACTGGTTCTGCTGAACACAAGGCAAGAACCCTATCTGCTGTACTCGCTCTCTAGCCTCTCACATGTATTTTTAAGTCTATCATCCAACCAACTAATTAAGAGTACAAATTCAAGTTCTCAGAAGAATAGTTTGCTTCTTGAAGGAAGGTTTGATTCATTTATTTTTATTTTTTTTGTTAAGCAATTTATTTGGGATTTTTAAAAAAATTTAAAAAATTGTTTTTAGTGAATCACCATGATAGCCTGCAATTACACCATGAGGTATAGTTGTAGACTTAGAAATTTTTGTGCTTGGGTTTCAGTTATATAATGATCGAGTACCCATCCCTCCACCAGTGCCCATTCTGATTAATTTATTTTAAATTTGGGATATTATAGCTATTCTTGCTGTACATAGGATACATTCCTGCTCTGGCAAAATATGTTGTGCATAAGTATTTACCTGCCCGGCAAGCTACCGAGAGTATCCCGCCCACATGGCAAAGCCTGGCAAGCTCCCCATGACGTATTTGATATGCCAAACATAGTAACAAGTCTCACAATCTAATTGGGCCCACTTGAGCAAATTGAGGAACAATGGGAGGTCAGTGACAGTGACAGTGACAGCCCTGCATACCTGGGTTTTTCTGCAGATTACCTCATGGGTGAGGCTCATCCGAACCTGTGGAGAGCAGCCTTGAGCATGGTAGTGGTTGGGTTCTGAAGGTTTTTGGCTGCTGGGGGTTTGTTGGGGTGGGGAGGAAACCTCAACCTGCTCCCCTCTTTGAGGACTTCTTATAGCTATGTTTTTGCCTAAGACATCGTTTAAAAGCATTTGAAAAATGTTTACCTGAAAATAATTTTCTAGTTCCTTTGAAAGAAACTGATAGAACTGAGACTTTTCCCTATGTTCTATCAGTCGATCAAGAAACACTCTGCTGGCTTCATGAACGAAGAATAGAGCAACCATCTCTTTGGAGTTTATAATAGTATTGTCAGCTTGTAGTAATCCTAGGAGAAGCTATTAAGGATTTAAAAATAGCAATTTAGTTTTTGGGGTATGGAACATTAGCAGTATAATACATGTCACAAAAGTTCAATTTTTTTGTAGTTTATGTTTCTATGAAAATAGAAGCAATAATCCAAGGTAAGAAGTGTCAGTTTCCACAAGAATAAGATTTTGATGAGATGGGCCAATTCTATGCCTGGGAAATTGGCATAGCCCCTTGAGAGGGCTCCCAAATCACATCTAATGGAAGTCTTGCTGAGACTGGAAACCGGAATCTAATTTATGGTGCTGAGCTAGAAGCAGGGTCACTCCCTGCAGTACTTGGGAGACCTTTCAGTGTCAGGGATTGAATCTGGCCTCCACAAACAGTACATGTGCTCAGCCTATTGAGCTATCTCCAGGCTCTTAGAGGTGCTTCTTAACACTGATCTGTTTGAATGCTCTTATTTTGACTTAAAAATTTTATATGCCCATTGCAAACATTATTGGGCTAAAATCTCACAGCAAGGAAAGCTAATAAATCTGGGCTGGAGCAATAGTACAGCAGGTAAGGCATTTTTCTTGCATGTGGCCAACCCGGGTTCAATCCCTGGCATCTCATGTGGTTCCCTGAGCACAAAGTTAGGAATAAGCCTTGAGCATCACCAGGAGTGGCCCCTAAACAAAAACACAAAGCTAAAAGGTATTAGGTCAAATATGTGTTTAAAAACATTTCTTTTCAGGAAATTATTTGACCAAAGTCTGTGATTAAATTAGCATGGTTGGTAACATTCTGTGATGTAAAAGCAAAATTTGCAAGAATTTAAGCATGTTTATGAAATGCACACAGGCTTTCATTATCTGAGATCACAATAAACTTACAGAAATAAAGCAAAATCAAAACCTGTGTTATAACTTTGTGATTTCTCTCCTTTGAAAATCTTAATATTTGAATATTAACGAATAAAACCTCATCAAATTCTCTTCATGGGATTATTTTAACTATTCTTTTCAAGTGATTCTTGGAATCAGTAGCTAATATACAGAATGATAAATCAACTTGATCTCATTTTTTTCCTTTCTCATAATTTAATGCTGTCAGTGTCAGTGTATAGAGTAATGGAGAGAAGTAGGTATTTGTGTGTGTGTGTGTGTGTGTGTGTGTGTGTCTGTGTATGTGTAAAAGAGAAGGAGAAAGAGAGTTTAGTAATATTATATTTTCTAAACTTAAATTTTAAAATTAAAAATAGAGAATGGATTTAAAAACATACCTTAAACACATCTCGGAGATTAAATATGTAGTGACATTTTGTTGGAGTTGGTAACATATTCTCACATATTTGATAGTACATAGCAAGGGAACAAGAAATTATTTTATCCTTATTTTTCTGAACTTCATCTACAAAGTTATTGGTGGAGAAATACATTCCCAAATGAACCTTTAAAAGAAACTTTATAGTTTAGTGTTGAGACAATTTAAGCAGACTGTTCTATCTAACCCCTACTAAAAAGGATATGTGTGCTTTATAATGGAAGAGTAATTTCATTGCAAGTTTCAGAAATTGTAATTTAAACAGATGGCAGATTTGTATAGACACTGAGTGTTGTAAACTGGAGAAATTCCAACTGGTCTTACATTGGTGAGTGATCTAGAGATTTCTTTATCTTTCCTTTTTTTTTCTTGGTGTCTAAAAATTTTTATTTTAAATTGAATCACTGATTAAATTGAATTTCAAAGTTCCCCTTCCCTCAGCCTTCCCCACCCGTTTTTAGGCTTTGTGGTTTATAGTACTGTTATGGATAGAGTGATCATGCATTTCACTTTATCTCCTTTCAGCACCAAGTTCTGGTCCAGAGTGAACACTTCTCTTTATCATTGTCTTAGTGTTCTTTTTCTTAACCATTTCGCTTCCACTACTATCCTAGTGTTCCCCTCTTAATGTATTCTGTTCCCCGTTCTGTGGCAAGCTTTCTACTAAGAACCAGTTCTCCTGCTCTTTGTTTCTATTGCCTTCGGGCATTAGTTACTTCCCTACTGTTCCTTTATAGTCTGCATATGAGTGAGATTGGTCTGTGTCTCTCTCCCTCTCTTCATTTCACTCAGCATGATACTTATCAGATCTATCCAAGTATCAGCAATTGCATGACTTCATCATTTTTGACTGTTTTCCTTTCTCAGTCACTTCTCTGTTCTCTCTGTTTACTTATTTCTGTGATCCACAAGTAATGTGAGTCCCATGGACACAATTTTTCACCTGTGGCTCCTGTGGAATATCCTTTGGGCCTACAAAGGCACATGGAGTCCCTGATTGAGAAATGTTGTTCTAGAGGCAAGAATTATATGTTCTGGAAACTATGTCCCACCTGTGTATATACCAGATATGCTGAAAATTCTTCCACCTCCTTGCTTCCTAGTAAATGCTACTAAGAATAATAAGGTGATAGAAATATCACCTTAGTTCATTTGTTGTTGTTGCTGGTTTGGTTTGGAGCAACACCCAAAAGAGCTCAGAGCTTACTCCGGGCTCTGCGCTCAGGGGTCACTTCTGCAGGCTCAGTGGGGTGCCAAATCTGGTCGGCTGCATGCAAGGTGAATACCCTACCTACCCACTGTACTATTGCTCTGGCTCTAATATTGCCTCAGTTTTGACTTGCTCGTGTACATATAAGTCTGTATATATGGAGCACTGTCAGGAATAAAACTAGGGATTCATATTTAGAAATTAATTAAACATTTGATGTTTTAAAGAGAAAACATGACTAATTTTCAAGAGTTAATAATTTTGCTTTTTAGATTTTAGGTTTGACAGGGTGATACCATTTCACCAAAACTATTCAGTGCCACCCTCGAGAATGTCATGTGATGACTGAAATGGGAAGGAATGGGAATGAAGGAATGGGTTGGCAACTACACCACCTCCGCTTTGTTCATGACATCGTTCTAGTAATACCAAACAAGAGCCAAGTGGCACGAATGCTGGCTGACTTGGACCCTGAGTGTGGAAAGGTCGAACTGCACCTGAGTCTCATGTTTCTGATGTTTCATTCACTTTCAGCAGAATGAACATCTCTGAATGCAGCAGTTATGTGTACCTAGGTCAAGAACTCAACATGACGAACGTCCTGGCATCTGAGCTGCACAGTAGGAAGAGAGTGGCGTGGAGCGCCTTCAAGAGCGTCGAAGAAATAGCTAAGAGGACAAAGAACCTCCGCCACCAGGCACATCTCTTGACTCCACCATTCTTCCTGCACTAACATATGCCTCAGAGACCTGGGCCCTATGAAAACAGGATGAGAACGCCATCCGGGGCTCCTAAAGAGGAATTGAAAGAGCTATGCTTGGAGTATCACACTTCACTCAAGTGAGAGAAGGAATTCGGAGTTCCGACCTCTGTTGATGATTGAGAAGCAGGGACGCTCTCTCATTTGCCAAGGCATCAAAAATCAGCTGGGCTGGACCCGTAATGCGATTTGGAGATGACTGCTGGACTAGAACCGTTACCGACTGGATTCCACGGGACGTCAAAAGATCGCGTGTTCGCCCACCTACAAGATGGTCAGACTTTTTCATCGAGACTCTGAAAGAATGGTTTGAGGCTCTCGTGTTCCTGTAATGGGCAGACACCACTGGGCTACATTAGCACGTGACAGGGACGAGTGGAGACGTTACTGGTACCCGCTCAAGCAAATCGATGAGTAACAGGATTTCAAGTGATCAAGTGAATAATTCTGCTTAAGATTTAGTCAAATTTGAATTAGATTTCAAATTGAAACACTCGTCTAATAAGACAGTTCAGATTTTTCTCTCAGTATTTTTTATTATAGAAGAAAATGAAGAGAATTTAAGAGGCTACAAGGGTTAAGGTGCTTGCCTTGCATTGTAGCTGACCCTGGTTTGATGCCTGGCAAAGTAATGATCCCCACTGTCCACCTTAGCTACAAGGTGCAATCCAGCACAGCTGGGGTAGCCCACAGAATCCCTAGAATCTGCAGGACCCAAGCAGCACTTTATCTGAAGGCCTATGCAGTGAATCAGCAGTCTGGTTAGCTGAGGATTGACAGAGGGCCCCTAGGTCTCTTGAGCACCTCTTGGGAAAGAATAAGGTGAAAACAGGAAAATGAAGAGATCAAATAAATTCTAGTTTAATTATAAATACAGATCCTTGTTTAACCAGAACATGAGAACTTGAGAATAAAGTCTTATGTCACATAATTTGAATATTTATTACACATGTATCACGTATTCTTATGATTCTTTTTCTATTTAAAGATAAATTATCACAAGGGGACAGAAAGTATAGGGGATGTAAATTCTACTCCCGAAGACACTATTCTTTCAATGTTTTTTAAATGCTTTCACTTTCCTTTATGCTTCAGAATTAATCTTTTGCAGTACATGGTGAACTCAATGTGTTGTATTACCTGGAAAATAGTACGCAAGGCATTTTGTGAAGGATGAGGCAATACAAAAACAGAAAAATGTTTGAGGAGACGTTGGTTAATAGTTCTCTTGCCAAATGGAGGTTCACATGATGCAATTAGACAGAAATCTTGAATATTCTATAGAAAGAATAAAAAAGAAAGATTAATATATCGATAAAAAGTGAAATATGTATCTGATCTTGGCCATAAATGACAATATTTTTAAATTGGCAAGTGAAATATTATTGACTGAAAGGCAAAAATGGTACTAATTAAAAAAAATCTCTTTTCAGAAGTCAACCATCCTAAAATACAATTTAAAAACATGTTACTTCTAGAAGCCCGATTAAATGTCCTCAGAAAAGAGTCTTTTTGAGAAAGACTGTTTCCTCCCAGAGGCTTTCTTATTCCAATGTTAATCATGGACTGAGTTAAATATTCCCCAATGGACAATCCAGACCTTTTTGTTAAATAGGCTCTTTCAACAACAAGATTTTGTAGTTGGCATTCCATAGCTTATCAATATAAAAATTTTATATATTCTGTTCTGTTTATCTGCGAGTCTTTCCTTACCCCATACCATGCTGTTTTAATTACTATCACCTTATAGCACAGTTTGAAGTTTGGGAAAGCAATGCCTTCCAATTTTTCCTGAGGATTGCTTTGGCTATTTGAGGGGATTGATTGTTTCATATGAATTTCGGGAGTGTTTCACCTTTCTCTAAAAAATGTCATGGGATTGCACTAAATCTGTATAATGCTTTGGGGAGTACTGCCATTTTAACAATTTTGATCCTTTTCATTGATGAGCAGGGGGTGTGTTTCCATTTCCTTGTATTCTTTTTTACTTTAGTGGTATTTTACAGTGTATTTTTCAAGGTCTTTCACCTCATTTGTTAAGTTGATTCCTAGGTACTTGATTTTCTGAGCCACAGTTGTGAATGGGATTGTTTTTAAAATTTCCTCTCTTTTATTTCATTATTTGCGTATAAAAAACTATTGAGTTTTTTGTGTAGATTTTGTAGCCTGTCACTTTACTATATAATTCTAGTGTTTTCAGGAGCTTTATGTGTGTGTAGTCTTTAGCGTTTTCTAAATATAGAATCATGCCTTCTGCACAGAGCCAGGAGTAAGTCCTAAACACTGTCAGTATGGCCCAAAGAGAAAAAATATAGTATAGATTTGAGAATCAGAGTGTAGGCATACTCAGAGTGAATATTATTGCTTCTAAGACACTTTGCTAAATAGTACACATTCCAGGGTGAAAGTGTGTGTGTTCTTCAGTGTAGCAACAGTCCTGCAGTTTATATAAGTATAGAAACTGTGAACAGAGTGCTCATGACATTTCAGTAAAGAAGGAGAGAACCAGGGCAGTGGTTTTGGGGGTATTTTATGTGAAATAGGGAGGAGAGAGGTGGCAGCCGCAAGAAAGAAGTCTACTTCTTCTGTCTCTATTCATTCCTGTCACCTAGGACTGATGAGGGTCTGTGATGAGCATCTGCACAGGACAGTCCTTGCATTGGATCCTCTCTGCAAGCTGGTCATCAAACTGTACCTGAGTCCCACTTGATTTGTCTGACATGGGAAATGATCCCTGCCATTTGATTTCCTGGAGAACTATGGGACTCAGGCTAAGTCGGGGAACTGATCTTTGCAAAGAAAGTCAGTCCTGGATTCTACCCAGATTTTCCAGGAATGTAGCCTTCCGTCACAGAAAAGAATTTTAGAAGGAGAGGAATAGTAAAGTAAGACAGCTTTTTCTACATTAGGGCTAGTGACAGAATAACTTCTTTAAATCACTTCTTGATTTTATTATTTCCTGAGAACTCATTGCAGAAGCCCCATATCTACCTGCCTGTCAAAGTCTCACCCAGCTGCTAACATATTTTTTCAGTTCCTGGGCTTCCCAAGGCAGTTGCAAACTGGATGGGTGTGATTTTCACTATGCAAATATATTCCTATGTACTCATAATGAAGCTGAAAGGCGGTGAAATTAACACTATTTGACTTAATATGATTGCAATTTTTACTAATATTTCTCATACTGAAAACAAAAATTACATTGTAAAAAAATTTATTTATTGGGCAAAGGTAATTTCTTCCAAAGCTTTTCTTCTTTCAAAAGAAGAAATTTTCTCCTTGAGTGTGGAAGACCTCTGAAACCCTTATCCAATTCCAACCTCCAGTTGAAGTTATTCTTGTGAATAGGCCAGTTATTAACAACTAGATTGCGAAGTCTGCTATTCCAACATGTATAAAGAATATCAAATTCCTTTTTCAAGATTTGCATTTTGCTCACACCTCAAAATTTAAATACAGTCTTTGATGAGTCAAGATGTTGGTATTATCAGGATCTTGCCATAAGGTATATATTTTCTCATTCTAACTTACTTAAAATATGTTTCTTCTCTACTGAAGATAACCAGCTTGTTAAAGCTAAACATAATGATCTATGTTTTAAATGAAGTGTTCAGATTTTACTGTCTGACTTCTTGGAGTGGCCTTGAAGCTGTGAAATAATTAAATCTCTTTCTTTTATCTGAGGGGACTGAGTGATAGAAGAGTGGGTAGGGCGTTTGCCTTGCACGCGACCGACGTGGTCAACCCCGGTTTGATTCCTCCGCCCCTTTTGGAGAGCCTGGCAAGCTACCGAGAGTATCTTGCCTGCATGGCAAAGCCTGGCAAGTTCCCCGTGACATATTTAATATGCTGAAAACAGTAACAACAAGTCTTACAATTTGTTGTGAGACGTTACTGGTGCACGTTCAAGCAAATTGATGAACAATGGGAGGACAGTGCTACAGTGCTACAGTGCTTTTATTCAAAGTGTAGAAGTGATTTAAGTGATACGATGAATACAAGACCTTGTGTTTAACTGCAAAGATGTCATTGGTGAGTACAATGTAGCCTGTTGGCATTGAGCATTAGGAAGTTACAAAAATGATCAGGAAATGTTCTGGAGTTCCTGACTTTTGCTAGGCTCAAAACGGGTTGTGCCAGCTCAACCCATTCAGCACAAAGAGAGGTCTGATAAAACTCTGAACAAGCAATACCTCCAGAATTCAAAATTCATTTTTCTTGAGAAAACTCTAGTGATAGACAGTTCCCTGCACAGAGAGCCCCAAGCCAATGCCTTTCCGGGAAGGGCTCTGTAATAGGCTTTGCAAAGCAATGACTGCATGTTCTACCCTGGGAATCCTCACTCTACTGGATTCTTTCATTTCTTTCTCATAACTGAAGCTGGGCCAAAGACCAATATTAGACAAGAACAACTGTCTTTGCTTCAAACCTTCCTTCCCTCAAAGCCCAACTTTTCATTTTGTTTAAATTTGCAGAGAGATGAAGAGTGCCTCAGGAGACCATCCTAGAAGGGATTTTTATCTTACCAGCATCCACTGACTTGAAACCCACCCTTCCCACAAATCCTGCTTCTCTGTTCTCCTTCTCTGTAAAATCCCTCTCCTGTAGTTGCTTGAACAATATCGTTGCTTTGAATACATGGACCCACCAGTCACCTTTCATGAAACTTTTCTACTTCACTGATATTTTTTTCTCTTGAAATTCGTTTCTGTGAGAATAGACAATGAAGTTAAACCAATGAAAAACTCGAAGAGCTTGGGATGGACCTTTCCTTTTCTTCCTGTGAAGAGCCTAACCTTGTTTTAATCTCGGAATCACAACTCCAACTCTAAAAGTCTTCAGGCCACACACACCACTGACAACATTTTGCAAGCGAGGCAAGAGGGAGGTAATGCACTCAGCTGAGACTCTCTCTTCCATTCTTTTCCTTCTTGTACAGACCTAAAACAGTAGCATGGTTATACTAGAGTCTCAACTTTGTTCTGCATGTCAGTCTGACTAGATATTCAACATTTCTTGGTTAAGTAACCCAACATTGTTACAAATACTTAATTTATTGTTAAGTAACAATATTTAATGTGAATAGAATCTTATTTTATACTGTACCTTCCATACAAGATTTTCAGTATCATAAACTCCTGACAAGTCTAATAATTGTCTGATTAATTCCAGGGATGGCTGTGCTCCATATCCATCTGATTCTGATACAGTCAGGTCATCAATGAATATAACAAACTTAGGAAAAACAAAAATTAAAACATATTAGTGCTGCCTTTCTGTTACTAAATGTTAATATTATGGCCCAAGGAAAAAAGTATATGTAAAGTATATGGCATATCTGGTTTTCTACTAAAGAGCAACACACTAGGCTGGAGTGATAGAGAAAGTAGGTAGGACATTTGCCTGTGGCCAACCCTCGTTTGATCTCTGATACCATATCCAGTCCTCTGAGCCTTGCCAGGTGTGATCCTTGAGCGCAGAGGCAGGAGTAAGCTCTGAGCACTGATGGGTATGGCCAAAAATATAAAATGCAACATACCAATGTCTTATCAGGACTCAATTCTTGCATCTCCAAAGGAGATACAGCCTTTACACATTTGAGTTGCCTTTGGGCTAAGAACAGTAACTTCTTTTCTTTAGATCCTACCTTAATTGTATTTCTTCCTGACAATCAAAGTTAGTGCCCCCTATCTACCTGTCTGCTTCAATATGACTTTAGAAATCATGTTTTTAAAATAATACAAGCTCTATTTACCACACTCCTTAGATTTAAAATATTATAGTTTATAATAAAAATCCATTTGTTGCTGGATAAAGTATCTAATCTTGTCCATCATAAAGAAATATGGTTATTACTTAACTTTTGCTTATTGAGTGTTTATTATTGACAAGGTATTGCTGAATTTATTTAGACATTTATTTTATTTGCACCCTGGATTATGATGAAGTCGACTACTTAGAATTAAACTCTACTCAAAAATTTAGAAATTTAGCTCCCCTTTGACCCAGCAATACCACTCCTGGAAATATATCCCAGAGAGGCAAAAAAGTATAGTCAAAGTGACATCTGTACTTGTTTATTCATTGCAGGACTGTTTACAATAGCTAGAATCTGGGAAAAACCTGAGTGCCTGAGAACAGATGATTTGTTAAAGAAATAAATTTTAGTACATCTACACAATGGAGTACTATGTAGCTGTTAGAAAAGATGAAGTCATGGAATTTACATACAAGTGGTACTACATGGAAAGTATCATGCTAAGCGAAATGAGTCAGAAAGAGGGACAGACATAGAAAGATTGCATTCATCTGGGGAACATAAAATAACAAAATAGGAGACTAACACCCAAGAATAGCTGAGATAAGTACCAGAAGGTTTACTCCATGGCTTGGAGGCCAGCCACACATACTAGGGGAAAAGGCAGCTCAGATAGAGAAGGGAGCACCAAATAAAGGGTGTTGGGAGGATCTTCCCAGAATGGGAGATGCATGCTGAAAGAAGACTACAGGCCAAACATGATTGCCACTCAATGCCACAACACCCAAAAGGAGAGAACAAAAGGGAATGCCCTGCCACAGAGGCAGGGTGGGATGGGGGGGATGAGGGGTGGGAGGGATACTGGGACCCGTGGTGGTGGAGAATGGGCATTGGTGGAGGGATGGGTACTTGATCATTGTGTTACTGAAACCCAAGCACAAAAAATTGTAAGTCTACAACTGTATGTTATGGTGTTTCACTAATAATAAAAAAAAAGAATTAAACTTTAAAATTTCCACTGCTTATGCTGCTATCATTAAAAGCCCAGCAGAAAATTCAGGCACATTTCTGATTTTAAAATTAAACTTTGTCTTCAAAAGGTTAATCAAAATGTTTTGATTATAATTTCTGTACATTCTCCCTCTTTTTTTTTCCATCAGGAGTTGGATGATTATAGACAAATTAACCTGACAAATTTCTCATGCTTACATGTTTTATTTGTAAGATTAGGTTGCTCACTATATTTTGATGGTGGCAGGTAGATAGGAAAGAGCCCCTATGGCAATGGAATCCCTCGGAAGGAGTAAAACCAATAACCCCATGACTGCAAAAAAGTTCATAAAAATGGGATGTGTTTTACCTTGTTGTTATTTGGTGCTCCAAGATTGTCTTTTGTTCTTTTTACTAATTTCTTAAGGATCATCTCTTTGGTTTTAGCAGCTGTCATATTGATGCTAAAATTTATTTTAGAGGTCATAATTCTTTGATTAAACATATGTAAATTTTCATAATTCTGAAGTAATGATCTTCTACCTTTTTATTTGATGTCAAATATAAAAATATAAAGAATGGTGTTAAAAACACTCAGAACATTTTTTGCTTTTAAGATATTAAGTTATGTGAAAATTAATCAATGTTACATTATGTTTGGGACTGGAATGATAGCACAACGGTAGGTCATTTTCCTTGCACATGGCCGACCTGGTCGACCCGAGTTCAATTCCTCTGCCTCTCTTGGAGAGCCCGGCAAGCTACTGAGAGTATCTTGCCCGCATGGCAAAGCCTGGCAAGCTCCCCATGACGTATTTGATATGCCAAACACAGTAACAACAAAGTCTCACAATGGAGACATTATTGGGCTTGCTCAAGCAAATCCATGAACAACAGGAGGACAGTGCTACAGTGCAGTGCTACATTATGCTTACTTCACACATTGGAGGCATATTTAATTATCAGAGATTTTTAACAGTAAAGTAAATTTTGAAAATTATATAATTTTACTGTATTATTGCCACTTTTACACAATTACTCTGGATGGCAAATTATTTAAATAAAATATAAATATTAATATTAAAAACAAAACTATGAAAAATAAAAATAATTATGATAGTTTAATATTAATTAATATTCAGAATTATTATGTTATTAATATTCATTAATAACAGAGCCTGGCAAGCTATCCGTAGTCTATGCCAAATAGACCAAATTGATATGCCAAATCCAGTAATAAATGGATCTCATTTCCCTAACCCTGAATATGCAGAGTCGAGAAGGATATGGAAGGAGAGGCTGATAAAACATCAAGGCAGACATAGGCTGCCAAAACGCAGAAAAACAAAAATGATTGTCTGTACTTTTAATGCTTGTTCACTGGCATCTGCTGCATCCATTGAAGACCTTATGGTACAAGCACGAAAGATCAAGTACGACATCATTGGTCTGACCGAAACGAGAAGACATCAATCCCATCATGCTGTTTTCGACACTGGAGAAGAACTGTTCCTTGGAACATGTGATAAAAGAGGCGTCGGTGGTGTCTGTATCCTTGTCAACACAAACTTAGTCACGAGCATTGATTCATTTGAATGCCTAACAATCCGAATCGGACGATTACACTTGAATAAATGTGGCTCACTACCGGCAGTTTCTATCTTTGTTGTCTATGCACCAACATCCAGTTATGGTGAAAGAGAAACTAAGAAATTCTACATGGAGCTGGAGAAGTTCTATAAAGAAGATCACACCTTCTACAAGATCATTGTCGGTGATTTTAATGCCAAGATAGGACCAAGAAGATCAGTTGATGAACTCCACATCGGAACCCATGGCCTGGAATGGAACGAACAGGGTGACAGACTGTCTGAGTTCATCATGTCAACCAAAACCTTCCATGGTAACTCACAATTCCAAAAGGCTGAATCTAAACGTTGGACATGGGAGTCTCCCGATGGACGGTTCCACAATGAAATAGACCACATCATATTCAATCGGCGGTTTTGCCTAACCGATGTTGCTGTTGTCCCAAAATTCCAAACGGGATCAGACCACCGTCTTCTTCGTGCAAAATTCTACCTCACAGAACGAGGAGAAAAGAATGCAAGGTTTAAGAAGAGGACGCCCACAACAACCACCAGCTGGGAGCTCGTTGGCTCTATTGCGGCAACATGGGAAGATGCCGTCATTGACAACATTGATGAGGAATACGATCGAATGATTCAGCACCTCCATGATTGTGCAAGGAATGCCAAGAGAGAGATAACCACAAAAAACCGTCTTTCTTCAAACACTCTTGAACTTATTCGCCAACGTGGCTTGGCACGTGCCTCAGGCAACCACAAGCGAAAGTCTGAACTGGCAAAACAGTGCAGAGAAGCCATCAAGGATGACCTCAAAAACAGGAGAGCAGCAGTACTGGTAGATGCAGCAGAAGCTGGGAAAAACATTCGTAATGCCCGCCTGTCCTTCACCAACTACAAAACCAAGATGACTGCCCTCCGACATCATGATGGATCTATCACATCTTCCAGAAGGGCAATGGAGAAGATTATTCATGACTTCTACTCAGATCTCTTTAATAGCCACATCCACTTGCCCATATACCACATACCACATGATGGATATGTCGTTCCCAATGTTCTCCCTTCCGAAATCCAACATGCCATCTCGTCGGTAAAGAAACAAAGAGCACCTGGCCCAGACAAGATCAGACCTGAACACCTGAAGAACTTACCATCAGTACTCATCAATACATTGGCTCGACTCTTCACACGCTACCTGTCTGAATGCAAGGTTCCATCCCAATGGAAAACCAGCAGGACTGTACTACTATACAAGAAAGGAGACATCCACGACATTGGCAACTATCGCCCAATCTGCCTATTGTCTGTCATCTACAAACTATTCACTCGAGTCATCCTGAATAGGATTAGCAGAACACTAGATGAAGGACAACCATGTGAACAAGCTGGATTCCAAAAAGGATTCAGTACCATCGACCATATCCACACAATAACCAAGCTCATTGAGGTATCTCGGGAGTTCAAGATGCCGCTCTGTCTAACGTTCATTGATTTAAAGAAGGCCTTTGATTCTGTTGAGACGGAAGCGGTCATGGAAGCCCTAGCCAATCAGGGCGTACAAACTCAATACATCAGGATCCTTCGTGAGCTCTATTGCAGATTCACTACCAAGATCTCACCATTCTACAAAGAAGTAATCATCCATATCAAGAGAGGGGTTCGGCAGGGTGATACCATTTCACCAAAACTCTTCAGTGCCACCCTCGAGAACATCATGCGACGACTGGAATGGGAAAACATGGGAGTGAAGATAGATGGTCGGCAACTACACCACCTCCGCTTTGCTGATGACATCGTTCTAATAACACCAAACATCAACCAAGCGGCACAAATGCTGAACGACTTTGACCGTGAATGTGGAAAGGTCGGACTACAGCTGAATCTTACGAAGACAATGTTTATGAGAAACAGCCTTGTTCCTGACGCTCCATTCGCTCTCAACAGAACCACCATCTCCGAATGCAACAGTTATATATACCTAGGTCGAGAAATCAACATGATGAATGACCTGGCACCTGAGTTGCGCAGGAGGAAGAGAGCGGCTTGGAATGCCTTCAAGAGCATTGAAGAAATAACTAAAAGGACAAAGAACCTCCAGCTACGAGCACATCTCTTTGATTCCACTATTCTTCCTGCATTAACATATGCCTCAGAGACCTGGACCCTACGAAAACAGGATGAGAACACTATTCGGGTCTCTCAAAGAGGAATCGAAAGAACTATGCTTGGAATATCACGATTCACTCAAATGAGAGATAGAATCCGGAGTTCTGATCTTCGTCAACGCTCAAGAATCAGGGACGCTGTCTCATTTGCCAAGACATCAAAAATCAGATGGGCTGGACACGTAATGAGGTTTACAGACAACCGCTGGACTAGAGCCATTACTGATTGGATTCCACGAGACATCAAAAGATCACGTGGACGCCCACCTATAAGATGGTCAGACTTCTTCGTCAAGACCCTAAATGATCAGTTTGAGGCTCTACATGTTCCTAAAACGAACAGATACCATTGGGCTACGCTAGCATGCAACCGGGATGAATGGAGATGTTACTGGCACCCGCTCGAATAAATTGATAAATAACGGGGATTAAGTGATAAGTGAAGTGATTCATTAATAACTTAATATAATTCCCAATCATTTTTACTAATAATAAAATAATGTGACATAAATGTATGAATTGTTTAGCAATGTTTATAAGGTAAAGGTAAAGGCCCTCCCGTTGATCGTCGATTTGCTCGAGCGGGCCCTGTAACGTCTCCATTGGGGACTTTGTTGTTACTGTGTCTGGCATATCGAATACTCTCGGTAGCTTGCCGGGCTCTCCGAGAGGGGCGGAGGAATCGAACTCGGGTCGGCCATGTTTATAGAGAATATAAAAATTAAAAATAAAATTTAATAGATGATGCTAAAAAATAAAGATGGGCAGAGATTTCAAGTATAAATAAGACTCCTAAAGTTTCACATATCTTTTTATTGTAGAGTTTAATTTGAAAACTCCTGTGGAACATTTTGCTTGCCATTTTTCTAAGGATATTAAATAACATGGGCTGGAGTGATAGCACAGCGGGTAGGGCGTTTGCCTCGCATATGGTCGACCTGGGTTCGATTCCTCCACACCTCTCGGAGAGCCCAGCAAGCTACCGAGAGCATCTCGCCTGCATGGCAGAGTCTGCAAGCTCTCCATGGCATATTCGATATGCCAAAAACAATAATAAAAAGTCTCACAATGGAGACATTACTGGTGCCCACTCAAGCAAATTGATGAACAACGGGAAGACAGTGCCACAGTGCTACATTAAATAACAGAATAGACAGACATTGTATTTGGTTACTTATAGATTTGTAAACAATAGCATCTGTTTTCTGGGAAGCAGACTAAGTATTACTTTCCCATAACTATTGAAGTTTTTGAGTACTTTAGAGTATTTAGAGAGAATATCGAATATTTTTACGGATCTTTTGTTTTAAATTTACAATTAAAAATTTTATTCTGATATTTGTACTAGTATAAAATTATTTGTATATGGTTGAGATAGTAATGTTTCCAAATTATTTTTGAAGCACATACCTTTATTTCCTTTTATCTTAGTTTCAGAAATCAACATGCCAAGATTCTGTTTTAAGCTAATGGAATAAATATTTAAGGATTAAAAATTAGATTATAACAGCCATATGAAAACAATCTGTGTTTGGTGTATTCTACTTATATCCCCATAAGTCTTTTATTCCCCCATTCAAAGATAAAATTAGGTTACCATTAAAGCAGATACCCAAATTTAATAAATTATGTGACACTCTAAAAACAAGCTATGCATATTGCTAAGTTCAGTCTGTTGAGTATTTGTCCCTTTATTCAATGCACTATATCTTATAAATCATTTACCGTAGGCCATCGATATGGTATTAGATGATAGCTTGGATAAAAACATAATTAAGAAAAGAAAAAAAAGGAAAAACACTAAAAACACATGTTTAACAGGCTCATTATCTTCTGATCTATAAGCCAGAAAAAGACAGCCCAAAGAAGAAAACTACAGACTGTTCTTTCTGATAAACATCTGTGCAAATACCCCATAAAATCTTGGCACACTGAGAATGTGACTTGATAGTAGAGAACCGTACGTCCTTAATTCAAAGGACCCGGATTTGATTTCTGGCAACACTAAAAGATAAAGATACAAAGCTTCAAGAGAAGACCAAGTACTTGGGAGTGAACTTAACAAAGGAGGCAAAGACCTATACAATAAAACTATGTACTAAAAGAAGTAAAAGAAAATGACACAAGGAAATGGAATCCTTTGTTCATGAATTGGATAAATCAATGTTATTAAAATGACCTCTTTCTAAAGCAATCTATGGATTCAGCTTAAGCTTTATTAAAATGCCAATAACATTTTCCAAATCGAGAATAAACAATTCTGAAGTTTGTGTGGAACTAACTCTAAAAGACTTGATAACCGAAGCAATTCTGAGAGTAAAGAACAATGGAGAGATCACACTACCTAATTTCAAACTATCTAACAAGGCTATGGTAATAAGAATAGAATGGCACTAAAATCAAAATGGACATAGACAAATAAATAGAAGAGAGAAAGCAGAAATTCATCCAGGTACATCTGTCACTGTCACTGTCACTGTCCTCCTGTTGTTCAACAATTTGCTCGAGCGGGCCCAGTAACATCTCCATTGGAGACTTTTGTTGTTACTCTGTTTGGCACATGGAATACACGGGTAGCTTGCCAGGCTCTTCCGTGCAGGTGAGATACTCTCGGTAGCTTGCCGGGCTCTCCGAGAGGGGCGGAGGAATCGAACTCGGGTCGGCCATGTTGGCTGCGTGCAAGACAAATACACTACCGCTGTGCTATCACTCCAGCCTAAGACAAAAGAACCAAGCCTTTGCCTTGAGTAAAATAAAGGCTCTTCAACAAATGGTGTTTGAAAAGGTTGACACCTACATGAAAAAAAAGAATGCTCTATCATTATTTAATAGCAAAAATTAAGTCAGGGTATATTAAAGATTTAGGTATTTGATACCAAACCATAAAATATATACTAAAAACACTCCAGGACCTTGACATAGAGATGTATTTAGGTACTCATCTCTATAAGCAAGAGTGTAAATGAACAATGAAAAATAATAAATAAGTGGAACTACCTCAAATTAAAGTTTAATGCACAATGAAAGAAATTACCACAATAAAAAAGACACCATAGAAACTGAGACTTTTTTTTGCACATTAACATCTGAAAGGGGATTAAAATCCAAGATATCTTGAAGAAATCATGCAACTCAGCAGACAAAGGAAACAACTCAATTTAAATTGGGAAGAGGGCCCCTGGCGCCATATAATCTCATCAACAGCCAAGATCCAGAGAGTATGAATTAAAGCTCCTAGAAGAGAGCAACACAGAACGTCCTGGAACACAAGGTTGCCTTTCTCGGCTGATCAACCTCTTATATTCTAGCCCACTGATGTACCAAGAGTAGCACAAATTTGTTTGGTTTTAACATACATGCTTGTAATGTCTTATATAAGGGCTTAATTGGCCTTACATAAGGATGAAATACAACAATCTTGACACACTTTCCTCTTATGGTGGTAGGAATGTGCACGGTCGTGGGATTGGTGTTTGAATATTATCTGTAATTATCTGTAATGAACTATTGTGAACAACATTATAAAAAATATATATACAATCCAAAAAAATGGGAAGAGGTCTGAATAGACATTTTTTCTAAGAAGATATGCAGGTGGTTCGTAGTCACTTGAAAAAATTCTGAAAATTATTTATTATTATACAAATTCAAATTAAAATATAATAAAGTATCACCTTGCTACAGTTAGAAGGCTTATCTCATTAAAGAATGAAAATAGGGACTGGAGTGATAGCACACTGGGTAGGGTTGCCAACCTGGGTTCATTTCCTTGCATCCCACATGGTCCACCCGAGCGCTGCCAGGAGTAATTTCTGAGTGCAGAACCAGGAGTAACTCCTGAGCACTACTGGGTGTGGCCCCCAAAGAAACAAAGAGTAACAACAACAACAACAACAACAACAACAAATCCTCCAAAAGACTGAGTTGAGCCAGAGAGAGCATGCTACTGGGTGTTACCTAAAAAGAAAAAAAAAAGGAAAGAGAAATGAAAAGAAAAAGAAAATAAGTGTTGGCAAGGGTGGAGAAAAAGGAAAATATTGGTACAGTCTGTGGAAAATGGTATAGCAATTTAGATTTATAAATAAGATTTATTTTCATGACTTCATGATGTTATGGTGATTTGTATTTATAAAAATAAATAATAATTGTTTTGGAATTGACCTAAAAGCCAATGACACATGATTAGATGAAGAAGCGGGTGGTGGTATATATACATATATATATAGCACAGCGGGTAGGGCGTCTGCCTTGCACGCAGCCAACATGGCCGACCCGAGTTCGATTCCTCCGCCCCTCTCGGAGAGCCCGGCAAGCTACCGAGAGTATTCGATATGCCAGACACAGTAACAACAAAGTCTCCAATGGAGACGTTACTGGGCCCGCTCGAGCAAATCGACGATCAACGGGAGGGCCTTTACCTTTATATACATACAAACATATACATACATATATACATATATATATACTCAATGGACTACTACTATGCCATTTAAAAACATACTTTTGGGGGCAAAATAGATGAAAGATGAGGTGATTATACAGAGTAAATGAGTAACAAAGTGAAATACAATTTCTATATGATATTTGTGATGTGTGTGTACTATGTGTGGTATATATGGAATATAAAAATGCCGCTAAGCTGTCACCTAAATTTGGTGGAAACTTAAAATTCTTAATAGAGGAAAAAAGAAGAGTGAGAGTGGGAAATATGAGTAGTGGGTTTTATTTTTGTTGGCAGGGTGGCACTGGAACTTTGGTGGTGGTGCAACCAGGTATAGCCACAGCTGTAACTATAGAGCTATATCCTTAAAATGCCATAGTTATGTTAATCAATGATAAGTTAAAAATGATCACCTATTAAAAATGAGGGACCAACAAAAGAAAAGTAAAAGAGAAGTTGAGAAATACAAATGTGTTGTAAATATAGAATAGCTATGACTGAGCAGAGGATTGGAGGGGGTCAGGGAAAGTGGAAGGAAACATAGGAATTAGGAAAAATGAAATGAGCTATTGGTCATTGAAAATGAGAAATTCAAGAACAATTTCTGTTTCAGGTTTGAATAACTTGTATTTCTCTTACTGAAGTGAAAATTACTGCACTAAGGATAGGTTTGGAAGAGAAATGAACAATTATATCTTTACTAAGTTAAGGTTGAGACACTCATCAAATAGCCAAGTATGTATGTGACAGATGCGGTTGGATCCATAAGTGTAATGAGTAGAGGGAAAGACTGATATAGGTCTCACATTCCCATCTTCTTATTAAAATAAAAGAAAAATGAGGTCCTCTAAAGTCCTCATAGATTATTAATTAAATAAAATATTTGCACTACTTATTTATATAATTTAGATATCTTTTTATTGCTTCAAGAAAACAGATGCAGTTTTTTATAAAAAGTATTTTCATATTTGATAAGAATTAACTGTATCTTTAGTGCAACCCAGTCAACTATGTGCGACTTTATTTGTAAGGTTTAGGTGCATTTTTCTAGGAAAGAAAGTGTAATCATATCTTGTTTATAGAAATTGAGAGTTGAGGGGCTGGAGCAATAGCACAGCAGGTTGGGCGTTCGCTGTGCACCCTCCAACCCAGGTTCGATTCCCAGCATCCCATATGGTCCCCTGAGCACCGCCAGGGGTAATTCCTGAGTGCAGAGCCAGGAGTAAGCCCTGTGCATCGCCAGGTGTGACCCAAAAAGCCAAAAAAAATTGAGTTGAATTTAATTACGTTTTAAATATATGTAAGAATTTCTCATTTAAAGAAATTAATCTTTTGGCAATATTTTGAAAAGTAAAGAGGAGATTAAATATTTTATTAGCTTCTTTTTAAAATAGTTTTGCATTTCTTACATAAATAGCCTGGTTTTGAAAATGTATATAATGTAAAACTGTACAAAATGTAAAACTTTATATACTAAATTAAAGATTTTACTGGTCAAATCATATTTAGAGAATAATGTAGCCAACCTTGTTTTTTTAGTTTCATTATATAATAAAACTTCTCCTACAAGTGATCCATATTTCACACTAAATGCTCCTGATTCCTGCAGTCTTTCAAGCATTTGGTTAACAAGAGTGGTTTTTCCAACACCAAGATCTCCTAAAAGGATACATTCGTTAGAGCAGAAGAGTAGATTTATTGACAAGAAAATCAATAAAAGCTAATATACTAAAATAAAATAATATTTATTTCATTAAAAATTGCATGAGACGTTGTTTTGCTCATCTTTTTAAAAAATGTGGTTAAAAAGACCAAACATTATTATGAAAACCTCAAATTATCTTGAGAATGATTTAATATCTAATGTTTATTTAAAATATTATACATTTTTTACCTTACAGACTATAGCAGCACTACTGCAGTACATTAATTCCTTTACAATTTTTTTTTTGTCAACACAGTCTGGGGGAGAAATTTGTTGACAAACCCTATTGTTGCAAAACAGGTTGCAACTGACCTTGCAACTGACCAGATTAAGTTGAAACATGAACCAACCTCTTTAGACAAAATTGAAGGCAGTGAATGAGTCCTTCTGAGAGTACAACACAATTTCATTAGATCTTTGTATAAAAGTCTATAAAGTAGACCTCTATATAGGGCATTGAAAGTAATACTATTGCTTCTTATAAAAAAACTACTATCCAGAGAGTAGTGTTGAAAAAAATATTATGTTAATAAAGAAGTAACTAATTAAATGAATATGTAGAAATAAATGTTAAGTTAATAAAGAATAAGAGTAACATGTAATTTTTCATTTGATTATGGAAAATAATTGAAAATTTTAACTTGGTTAGAGAATTGTATCCCTCCTCTTTTTAAAAACTCAGTAATTTTTTTCTTGACTACAATGAATTATGTAAATTTAATTAAAGCAGTCAATGTTACTACCATAAGTAGTTCTCTAAGGGCCTTAACCCACAGGCTTTGGAGGTCACACATATATTCATCCTACAGTTCTACTTTTGGAATATTTTGAAGATAATGAAAGTACAAAGTAGATTAATAATACCCTATTTCTGCATGTATGTGGCTATTGGTAAGAACATATATAAATACAATCATAAAAACTTTTAAGATGATTTTGCTCACCTCTCGTATAGAGAGAAACGACACAAAGTATAGATGCATCAAATGATAATAAACCTTTAGCCCTGAGTAGCAATTGAAAATACCAAAAAAGGGAATGTGGGGGAGTGGGTAGGGAGGGAAAATGAGGTGAATTGGAAATAACACAAGGACATTGGTGGAGGGTCTTGGGCACTTTTCCAGTGGTATACACTGTGTACACACATCAAAAATCGTAATATCAACACTACTATAAGCCTGTAATTTAAATGATAGTAATTAAAGATTATATGTTTCCTATTTATACAATAACATAGTTAAGCTAAATAATTAAGAAGCTTCTTAGAAACACTGAACTCAATTTTCTTTACATATTTCAATACCTGTGAGAAGAACAGGGAAGGAATTTCTTAAAAGAAGACTCATGAGAAAAGAAATACTTTTTGTATCTCTGGTAGCAATATGATAAATATTCTCTCCATATTCTGATATCTTCACGAGGTTATCATTGTATTCAGCATTAGTTATTATTGAAGTTCCTAAGTTAAAATTGTAAAAAGTTTTGAATGATTTATAAATAAAACTTATTCTGCATATTGTTAACCTAATATGCCTGTCTGCCAAAACAGCTGAAACCCAGAGAGAGAACAAAATTGTTAGTGCCTAGGGACACTGCTGGTCTTAGAGATTATCCTTTGCATTAATACTAAGAACTGATGAATTTAACTTAACACATCCCTAAGTTACCCTTATGTAAATTCCCTGTCTTTATTGTAGTAACCTACTAATTGGCCCTTGCATGCGATGCAAGCATCTTATTATTTATGTAGGGGGCATTCTTGGTGTTTTGGTCTGATGGTCCTGCTGCTCCGGAGGTGCAGTGTTTGGGCCTGCAGTGCTCAGCGACCACCAGGGCTATGCCGAGGATGGCGGGGAGGGATTTGCAGGGCTGGGGATAGAACTCATAAATTTGCACATAGTAGGCATTTGTTTTACCACTGTCTATTTTTTAAGCCACTGTCTTGTCAAAGTTTCTTTTAATGCTCTGGTTCTTTAGTTCTTTTGGAAATCCTGTCCTCCACTATTGTGTCTCTTACTTTCTTCTGGAATTTTCCATTAAATAAGCAGATAGATGCTAGTATCTCTGATATTTTTATTAGCTGGACCACTGAAATTCGCAGGTTTGTTAGAAAAAGAAACATTCAAATGTGTAACATTTTATATGAAATAATATGCACACACACAATACATCCACATACATCACAAAATTAAACCCCGAGTCCTATTCTCTTGATTTCACAGTTTTCTATAACTATGATCCAAATTCTTTCCCTCATTACACAGCCACAACTCTCAAATGGTTAAACGCAAAATAGACTCACTGGTTAATCTTTTAGTCACTCTTAACTTAATATAATTATTTACCTGAATTTAATATAAAGTACTTTAAGGTATATAACAAAGAATTAGTCCTGGGGGCTGAAGTGATAGTACAGTAGGTAGGGCGTTTGTCTTGCACATGTCAACCCAGGTTCAATCCCTGGCATCTGATATGGTCCCCAAGCACGGCCAGGAGTAATTTCCGAGTGCAGAGCCATGAGTAACTCCTGAGCATTGCTGGGTGTGGCCCAAACCACGTTCCATTCACCCCCCAAAAGAGTTAGTCTTTTCTTATCTTTACATTCCAGTCACCTAGTTCCTATGAACGATGCTATGTGAATTAATAGGGCTTTATTAATCTATAATAAAGGCTAATATTTTATAATCTCTCATATGTGCTGGAATCTTAAAAAGAACCCAAGGACACAGAATACAGATTGGTGGTTGTTGGAGGCAAAGGACGATAGTGTATAGAATGAGAGAAATGGGAATGAGGAGAGTGAAAAGGTAAACAATTTCAGGGAATATAATGTATCACCTGGAGATTATAGTTAATCATATTATTTACATTTGAAGTTACCAAGAGTGAATCTTAAAGTTCTTATCACAAGCAAAGTATAATTCTCTGAGGTAATGGTAACTGTTTTTATAAAAATTTATCACAAATTTTATTGTTGTATTCACTATAAATATGACTCATATCTAATTTTGTTAATATCTTTATTGTTGCAGAAAATAGGTCCTAGGCATAAAAAATGGCAAAAATTGTTATAAGAACTAATGTTAACTAATTTTTATTCTTCCTTTAAATATTTAAAGTGACACTGAGATGCTGACACTGAGAGTTAGTGAGAAATAGTAAAGTTTAAGAAAACAAAGGCTGTGATGAGGAAATTGTACTTAATAAAAAACAAGTTATATAAATAAAATGACAACAGAAAGTTAAAAAGTATAAACACACAATCTGCTTTGCGTGCTGGAGTCCAAACCTGGATTCACTCCTGAACACCAAGCTCATGTAGGCTGACTGCTTATTTGCCATATGTCCCCCATGCCCACAGTTTATGCAAACATTTATTCTTTGTCCTATTGATATATATCAACTTATAAAGAATAGTGTGTGTGTGTGTGTGTGTGTGTGTGTGTGTGTGTAATCAAGGATATGGAAGTTTTCCTCTATAAAAAGGCCAGGCAGCCCCTGTTCACTGATGTTTGCGCTAGCTTGTGGCCTTAACAACTCATTGCATCTGTTTCATTCTCTGTGCTCAAAACTGCTGAATTGAGTTGAAGATTCAACTGGTTTTATGATACTGATCCAAATCAGTATCATATTTGGAGAAAATATTTCTGGCTTCCCAAAGAAATGATGAGTTGTGTAAGATATTAAGATACTGAGTTGTGTGCATTGAGGGTTTTTTTTCCCTCCTATATAGTGGTAAAGCTAAGGTAAAAATGATTCAATATCATTACTAACATAAGCTATACATTTCAGAGACACTAAATAAATATTATTACTCACTAATACTAATGGTGACAAGTGATTAACAATAGAGCTTTAGTATTTATAAATGAAATTTATAGAACTTTCTGAATACTGCATGATTCTGCTGTATGATTGCTTTCTATCGAAAACTTCTAAAAAAACTAAATTTGGAATTCTTTCATAAGTTGAATCTTCCATCAAAGTAATTCAGTGAGATTTTTCACATACTGAATTTCATATATTTGGAAGAACTCTGCATGAAGATTGATCATTAAATTTTCATCTGAAAATTCAATAAAACATTCAAAGTTCATCAGTTTCAATATGTTTTTCTAAACATAGAAGCAGAATATTGAGAATAAAAATAATTCTTCATATTATGGATACTTGTCAAACTATGGTTACTCTGGGTGGGGGTAATGGGAGGGAAATTGGGGACATTAATGCTGGGAAATGTACACTGGCGGAGGGATGGGTGTTGGAAGACTATATGACTGAAACATAATCATGAACAGCTTTGTAAGGGCCTGTCTCACAGTGATTCGATGAAAAAAAAAACAAACCCCATGGTTATACATTTCTGATTATCAGTTTCCTTTATAACCGAGCAAGTTCTTTTCTTCACATATATTTTTTGTACTTTAGAATAGGTCTTAACTTCCCTTTTTTTCAACAATAATAGTTAACTAAAATAATGAATTTCCATTAGTAAGACTGTCAAGAAAAATCAACAAAATACAGTTTTACTTTTCCAGAAAGCAATACTTAAAAGTATTTTTAGAGATAAGTTTGGTAAGTACTTTTCTAAACTGTTTCCTACTCAAGCACTTAAAGTCTTTGACAAAACTACCTTTACGGATAAAGCATTCCTTAAACTTTAGAGAAGTTTTGAGCATGATTTCTGTAATCACACTTACCTCTTTGAATTAGTGTGTGAATACTAGGAAGTAATTCTGACCATAATACGAATTCTCCTTGTCGTATATCCACAAAATATCCAAAAATGGAATGTTGACCAGTTGGTAGGTTACAGCCTATGTTTGAAAAAGAGAAATAAATCTCAAAAGTGTAAAAAAGGGTTTTTACTCAAGGATATAAACATTTATTGATAATAAATCTTGGGCTCTGAATTATAAACTTGAGAATGCCAAACTGGGGGGACCTGGGGAAACAATAAGGTTGACTGGAAGTAGCACAGGGGCAAAGCTGGAAGGTCTGGAGCAAATGGGTGGTGGCTAAGGGAGGTAACAGTATGCACAGAACCCACAACTGTTAATCAGCAAATATGGGTGAGGAGGAAGGACGTCAAACCAGAGGTGATGTAAGGACATGGGTTGGGGGTCGTCATGGATGCTTTGTTGGTGGCGATATATGTAGCAACTTTTGTGTATCTATACCATAACCTTAAACCCTACTTTAACCCTATTGCCTAAAGTATGATAATAAAGAATTGTCCCAAGTACTATTACCCACTGGAATATTTTGGTTTATATCTTACCAGAACCTTAAAATAAAAATGATTTTTAATGTAATCTGAAACCAATACCCACCCCCCATCCAGTGTAGTTTCAGCATCTGCTCCTAAGATTAGTCTTGTAATTTCAGCTCATTTGTTTCTGATACCTAATTATTTTTTATTCTTTCCTAAATATATATATATCCCAAAGATATAAAATATATAATACAGATTACATATATACATATAAAATACATAATACAAATATACAATACCATTTCTTTAACACATTTATTTAATTCAAATTTCCAAGTCTTTGTGGCTGGAAGGATTTCAGTAATCTCAATTTGACCATATTGTTGGGACATAAAGTGCCTCATGAAATAGTTAATTTAGAAGAAAAAAAATGTTTAGTTATTTTTGATGATTTTTTAAATCTCACTTCTTTTATAAGAAACTTGAAGATTAGCAAGATAACACAGCAGGTTAATGGGACAGCATGAGTGTGCATTGGATGCATTGGATGACAGCTAGGAGTCTCGGGTCACGAGGACCCTGTAGCAGCTAAAGCTCCAAGGTCTAGCTGGCCTGACCTTTGGCCTAGGGTTCATCTAACTGGAATATTGCATAAAGTTTTCCATAGAGGTTGTAACTTTCTATGCTATAACATAGAAATATATTTAATTTCTTGTTTATAAGCAGCTATTCAAACACTTGGTAGTTTTTCTATTTCTATTATAGATTTTTATTTTTTTTATTTTCCAGCTACATTGAAACTTACTGTTTAAGTATGAAGGGTACAATGTAATTTTTTGATATATATCTATTGATACATGATTATCACATTAGGCTAGTTAATATTCAGCACTTCAAATAACTTTTTGAATAGAGTAAGGAAACAGTTTATGACTTGTGAAAAAACTGAAAAATTTATTCGTTAATTTCCAAGTATACAATACGATATTGTTACCCAAGATCACCATGGTGTATGTTATCGCTCTAGAACTTATTTACAGTGTAGCTTCAAGTGTATACTTTTTGTTTGTTTATATATATATATTTTTTTTGGGGGGGGGGATCTCCCAAGTGGTGTTCAAGGGATCCAGGGACCACTCAGGGAACTGTGTCTGTGGTTCAGTGCTAGAGCCTGATGATAAGATCTTGCATGGGTCCTGAAATGCTGGGGATTTCCTGGATGACTCTGGTGGTACTCAGAGGCTTCTAGAGCCACACCTAGGAATGTTGAAGGTCTTCGAGCTATATCCAGTGATGTTTGGGAAGTCACATGTCTTGGGGATTGAACCTGGGTCAGATGCAGTCCAGGTATACATGCTGCTGTACATTTCCCAGTACAGATTTTTACTATCTGTTCAGCCTCTCCTCATTCTTCCATCTCCCAACACTGGGCAATTGCTATTGTATTGTTTTATGAGTATGGCCTTTTGATTCCTCATGAAAGATAGATCTCAATATCTGACATTACATCCTAATGCCCCCAGAGTGTAACATTACATCCATATTATTACGCATCATAGAATTTGATTTTTTATGGTTGAGTAATTTTCTGTGTATGTAGATAATTACAGCTGTATTCATTTTCTACTAAATGGCAGATTGTCTTCACATGTGTTAGCTATTGTGAATCATCATCCTGCAATGAATAAAAGAGTGCACATATCTGATATGATTTTATTTTTTCGGAGGAAGGGGTAAAGACCTGGAAGTATGACTGCTAGGTCATATGGTAGCTCTATTTGTTTAAGGAAACTTCATGCTATTTTACATAATGTCTGTACCAATTTGTAATCCCACTCAAAGTGCACACGGTTACTATTTTACACAAATGCTGATTATGAAAATTTGAATCTCTTGCCTTTTTAATGACAGCCACTCTGAGAGTTGTGAGGCAATGGTTTTAATTTATCTCCCCTTGATGATTAGTAAAATTGTATATTTTTCTATGTGTAACTTTTGGCTATTTTTTATTTTCAGAAAAGTGGCTGCTCAGGTCAACCACCATTAAAAGAAATCAGATTATTTAATGTTTTTGCTTCTGAGTTCTATGAGTTCCTTTAATATTTTGGGTATTAATCCATTTTTACTTTTTACAATTTTGAATTATTAAATCACTGTGAGATACATCTAAATTAATCTGCTCATGATTTGTTTTTAGCCATATAGTGTTTCCAACACCCATCACTCCACCAGTTACCCAGCACCAGCGTCCCCAGCTTCCCTTCCATCACCTTCTCTGCCACCCCCAGCCTACCTCTATGGTAGGCATCTAGGCATTTTCTTCTCTTTCTCTTTCTCTCTCTCTCTCCCCTCTCTCCTCTATTTCACCTCTTTATCCTCTCTCTCACCTCTCACCTGTCTCTCTCTCTCTCTTCCTCTCTCCCTCCCCTTACTTCACTCTCTTTCTCCTTCCAGTCCTTTTGCTATCTTACCCCACACATACTTGTAGTTGATTTCAAGCACCCACCAGTCCTCTTAGACACTGTTTTCCCTGACTGTGATACCTCTGTATCACTGTCATCCCGTTGTTCTTCGATTTACTGGAGCGGGTACCAGAGCATCTTTATTCGTCTCAGCCCTGAGATTTTAGCAGCCTCTCCTTAACTCGTCTTTTGCAATGATTGGAGGCTCTTTCTGGATCAAAGGAATGAGACCTGTTATCGTTACTGTTTTTGGCATATTGAATATGCCACAGGGAGCTTGCCAGGCTCTGCCTGTGTGGGTGGGATACTCTTGGTAGCTTGCCGGGCTCTCCGAGAGACATAAATATATATTTCTCTCTATGATTTGTTGCCTACTGTCTGAACCCCATCAAATATGGTGTGGTAGTTGTGGAAAATGGGTAGGAAGTGTCTTATGATGTGTGTGTGGCTTCAGAGCCAAGCTCTTAGAAAAACAGCCTGGAGCGTGGTGGCAGTTGGGTAGTGGAGGTCGACTGCTGGGGCTGGGTCCCTTGGGGCGGGGAGGGCTCTCTTTCATCCCCCTCTAGGGTGCCCTGAGTGAAAACAGCGTGGCGCGGAGTTTGGTAGCATGTTTATGGAAGCCTCATTTTATGCTCCCTCCCAAACCGTGAGTTCTGGAAGGTGGTTGATGAGGAGATTATCTGGTGCCGGCAGGGTATGGCTTATGGGTGTGACCCCTGGGTTGCCGGAGACTGGGGGAAGCAGGCAGAGGATCTCTACTCCCGGGTCCTGTTAAATCCAGAGTCTAAGGTCACAAAGTTCTGCATTACCTGGGTTCTGTGGGACTTCATTCAAGCATGAGGCTCAGCCCGAGCTTCCGGAAAGTGGCCTGGAGCGTGGTGGCAGTTGGGTAGTGGAGGTTGGCTGCCGGGCCTGGGTCCCATATTCCACAAGACTGTGGAATGTCTTCTAATATATATATATATATATATATATATATATGTGTGTGTGTGTGTGTGTGTGTGTGTATGTGTGTATGTACACACACATGTATATCACAAATGAATTCAGTCATTCTATATCTGTCCCTTTTTTCTGACTAATTTCTCTCAGCATGATACTCTCCAAGTCCATCCATTTATAGGCAAATTTCATGACTTCATTTTTCCTAACAGCCGAGTAGTATTCCTTTGTATAGATGTGCCATAGTTTCTTTATTCATTTGTCTGTTCTTGGGCACTCAGGTTGTTTCCAGGTTCTGGCTAATCATCAGGGAGAAGCAAATCAAAACTATAATGAAATGCAATCTCACACCAGAAAGACTGGCACACATCTAAAAGAATAAGAAAAACCAGTGCTGGTACGAATGTGGGGAGAAAGGGATTCTCTTTCATTGTTGGTGGGAATGCCAGCTGGTCCAGCTATTTTTGAAAACAATATGGACATTCCTCAAAAAAATTAGAAATTGAGCTCCCATTTGACTCAGCAATTCCACTTCTGGGAATATATCCTGGGGGCCCAAAAACACATAGTAGAAACACTATATGCAGCCCTACGTTCACTGCAGCACTATTAATGCCATTTCTGTATATGATTTGAAGATCTCTTCTTCCATTCCATAGGTTGACAATTGTTCTTTTAATTTTTTTGGTGTGGAAATGTTTCAACTTAATAAAATTTCACTTATTATTTTTGTTGATTTTGTTGCCTGTTCTTTGTGTATCAAGTCCAAAAACTTATTGCCAGGACAAATATAAATATATGCTTCTTTTTGTGAATAAGGATAACACTTCTAGGTGTTTTGCAGTGTCAGGTCTTACCTTTAATTTTTAATCCATTTTAAATTCATTTTTGTCAGTGGTTTAGAGGTTCCACTATTATTTGGCAGGCGAATAAAAGTTTTTCCAATATCATTTATTGAATTTTTTCTATTTCTTTTTTCTATTTTCTTGGCTCCTTAATTGCAAATTAACTGCCTATGTAAATGATCTAATTCTGTGCTCTCAATTATACTCCATTAACTGGTGTGTCTGTTTTTATTCTAAAATCATGCTGTTTTAATGCTATAACTTGGTAGTTTGAAGTCAGGCAGACTGCTATTTCCATTCTTCTCTTTACCCAAAGCAATATACAGTTTCAATACAACTCCCATCAAACTTCCAATGACATTCTTCAAGGATATAGAAAAATAATTCTGAAATTTGTATGAAAACACAAAATACCTAAATGCCATAGCAATCCTCCAACTGTCTAAATAGAACAAATTATGACTCTGTTCTACCAGAACTTACCATACAGTAAATTGTTTTCAAATACTTTATGAACAAGTTTGTCAAACTCATTTGTCACTTTTGCAGGAGACTCAGGATTATAATTTAAATATTTCAGTATGTCATCTTCATGTTCATCCTCACGTGTCAAAGTGCCTCCAAATGCCCAAGTATAAGCAAAAATGAAAATCTTTTGAATCAACCTCTTTTCTTTTTCATGATTTTTCTCTAGATACCATTTATCTTCAGCACCAGGTAAACTATATATGAAAAAATTAAGGTTAAATATTTTAGAAGGCATTTCAATAATTTATTTAAAAATCATACCAACTTTTAAAAAATAAAATAAAATAAAAATCATACCAACTTTTAATGAAAATTATAATACAGTATTATTATTAATAAGTATTGACATAAGTTTTAAAGTTAATGCATAAGTCCCCTTTGACAGTTGGTGCAAATTATAAACTGTTACCCTTTTTAATTATTGCCATATGTGTGAGATACTTGTACCAACCTTTATTTCATTAATTTGGTTCACAAGATTTACTTTTAGGTTCATTTATTGACCAATAGTTTATCTGTCTTTGAGAGAGGAATTGATAATTTCCTATCCTATGTAGAAAGGAATAAATTAAAAGTCATTTACTTTTGCTCCTCTCAACCAGGTCCTGAAGGTTTATTTAGTTCAACCTCACTCAAACTAGGCAGTGTGAATCTGGAACACTTAAAAATTAGCCTCAAATTTGAATTTTAATGAAATTGACTCAATTAGGTCAATTTCATTCATTTCTCAAAGTTTATCAGTTTTTTATACTGTACTATCATTATCTATGCTATTCATACAACAGGCTTTAAATTTTTAAAATTTTTTTATTAGTGAATTGCTGTGAGATACAGTTACAGACTTGCAAACTTTTGGGCTTGCGTTTCAGTCATACAATGATCAAATATCCATCTCTCCACCAGTGCCCATTCTCCACCACCAATGATCCCAGTATCTCTTCCACCATCCCCAAACCCTCCACCCCACCCCACATCTGTGGCAGGACATTATCTTTTGTTCTCTCCTACTTTTGGGTGTTGTGGTTTGCAATAGAGGTATTGAGTGGCCATCGTGTTCAGTCTACAGTCTACTTTCAGCACGCATCTCCAATCCTGAGCGGGTCCTCCAAATACCCTTTACTTGGTGTTCCCTTTTCTAACTGAGCTGACAGGCTTCAGAACTTCTTACTCTTGTGTTAGATATAGAAAGATTTTACCTATGGCAAAACGTGCATGACACTGACGCTAAAGGTATCTTCAAAGATACCTGGCCAACCAAGTGGAAACAGAGATAAACAAAAGGGAATATCTTAAACTAAGAAGTTTCGGTACTGCAAAAGAAACAGTGACCAGAATACAAAGTCAATCTACAGAATGGGAAAGGACATTCACCCAAAACCCATCTGATAAGGGCTTGATATCAAGGACATACAAGGTTCTGATTGACCTCTACAAGAAGAAAACATTCAACCCCATCAAAAAATGGGGTGATGAAATGAACAGAAAATTTCTCTAAGAAGAAATTCGAATGGCTAAAAAGCATATGAGAGAATGCTCTACATCATTAATCATCACGATCACGACCATCCTGTTCTTCGTCGATTGCCTCGAGCAGGCACCAGTAATGTCTCCTTCGTCCCAGCCCTGAGATTTTTTAAAAAGTGCCATATTCAAGGCTCTTTCAGGGTTAGGAGAATGAGACCCATCATTGTTACTGGTATTTGGCATATTGGGTACGCCATGGGGAGTTTGCCAGACTCTGCCGTGTGGGCAGGTTACATTTTGTCCAAAGTAGGAATGAGATAAAAAAAAAGATGTCGCACAGCCACGAATGCAGCCATGCGCTTCCGGGAGCTGGGTTTTATAGTCTCTGAGTCTTAGCCATTGATGGGATTAAACAGCACCAGGGGACCAGTTGGTGGGTGTGACCTCTGCCTACTGGAATTTGGAGGATCTGGGTGGAGGATGCTCAGCCCCGATCTGAGCAGGCTTGGAGATCTCAGCCCCGGGACCCGCATGCCTTTTTTCCTCTGCGGGTACCTCCATGCGTGTAGAGAGTGGTCTCAGCATGGTGGTGGCTGGTTCTGGAGGTCTGCGACTGCTGGAGCCCTGGTCGGGGCGGGGAGGGAAACTCAACCTGCTCCCCTCCAAGGGGCCACGGCGAGGACAGCCAGGCGTGGGGGCAGGAGACACTGCGCTGTTCTCTTCCGGGAGCTGGGTTTTATAGTCTCTGAGTCTTGGCCGTTGATGGGATTACACGGCGCCAGGGGGCCAGTTTGTGAGTGTGACCCATGCCTACTGGAATTTGGAGGATTTGGGTGGAGGATGCTCAGGGAGATGCAGATCATAACAACAATGAGATATCATCTCACACCACAGAGACTGGCCCACATCCAAAAGAACAGGGGCAACCTGTGTTGGCACGAATGTGGCAAGAAAGAGACTCTCCTTCACTGCTGGTGGGAATGTTGACTGGTTCAGCCCTTTTGGGAAACAGTATAGATGATTCTCAAAAAAATTAGAAATTGAGCTCCCATTTGACCCAGCAATACCATTCCTGGTAATATATCCCAGAGAGACAAAAAAGTACAGTTGAAATGACATCTGCACTTCTATGTTCATTGCTGCACTGTTCACAATAGCCAAAATCTGGAAAAAACCCAAGTGCCTGAGAACAGATGACTGGTTAAAGAAACTTTGGTACATCTATACAATGGAGTACTATGCAGCTGTTAGAAAAGATGGTAAAGGTAAAGGTAAAGGCCCTCCTGTTGATCGTCGATTTGCTTGAGCGGGCCCAGTAACGTCTCCATTGGAGACTTTGTTGTTACTGTGTCTGGCATATCGAATGCTCTTGGTAGCTTGCTGGGCTCTCCGAGAGAAAAGATGAAGTCATGAAATTTACATACAAGTGTTACTACATGGAAAGTATCATGCTAAGTGAGATGAGTCAGAGAGAGACAGACATAGAAAGATTGCATTCATCTGGGGAATATAAAGTTTAGCAGAATGGGAGTCGAACACCCAAGAATAGTTGAGATAAGTACCAGGAGGTTTACTCCATGGCTTGGAGGCCAACTGCACATGCTAGGGGAAAGGGCAGCTCAGATAGAGAAGGGAATACCAAGTAAAGGGTGTTGAGAGGATCCTCCCAAGATGGGAGATGCATGCTGAAAGTAGACTATAGACCAAACATGATTGTTACTCAATGCCTCTTTTGCAAACCTCAGCAACCAAAAGGAGAGAGAGAGAACAAAAGGGAATGCCCTGCCACAAAGGCGGGATGGAATGGGGGGTTGGGGAGTGGGAGGGATACTGGGATCATTGGTGGTGGAGAATGGGCACTAGTGGAGGGATGGGTACTCAATCATTGTATAACTGAAACTCAAGCACAAAAACTTAGAATGTCCACAACTGTACCTCATGGTGTTTCACTAATTAAAATTTTAAAATAAAATAAAAGAAAAAGAAAAAGAAAGATTCTACTGGAATTAAATTAAGATTAAATTAAGTGAATTTTATATTATGAAGTCACAAAAGTATTGATTTATTGATGGATAATTAATCCTGTGCTTATTTGAGTGTTAGGAAGCTTATCAGTCACATTTCTGCTGAATTTATAGAACTCACCCCTTCATAATCTTGAATCTGACTTTTGAAGACTCAGAAGTTGCTTCTTCAGATAGATTACTCTTCAAATCACCGTCTTAAAAAGAAAAATATATATTTTCCCCCAAATTAACAATGTATCCAAAATTTAGCTGGTTAATTGGTAAATTTTAACCTAATTTTCATCTTTTTAGTTTGTGAATTGACAGAGGAAAGCATATTTGCTGCAGAAAACAACAGTTTAATTATAGAAAACTACAGTTTCTAGAATTAGTTCATTTGATTCAAGTGGGAGTTAGCTACTCTAAGAAAAAAAAGAACAGAGAATGATCCTGCAATTGTCACAACTGATTTTCATTTATTTGTATACATACTGCTCTTTTACGTTTTATTCTGGCAACTTTTTATAAACTTCTTCCAAAACAATTTTTGTAAATTTCTTTAAAATATTCAGATGCCCCCTCCAAAAGTGGTACACATTTCTAACTAAATAAATGGGACCTAATGGAACCTAATAACATTAAAAAAGAAAGCTGAAAGCTTTGAAGAAAGAAATTAATTCAAACAAGCAGGTGCTCCTTAGACAGACTGTTACCTGTCTTTCACCCACCTGTCATCACAACTTTTGTTTGTCACCTATTCATAGAAGAACATAAAAGTGGACGATTATTTATTCTTCTTTTTAGCTTATTTTTCTTTTATAATGTTCATTTTCTTTATGCTAAAATTAATTGCATGACTTTTGTACAACATATGATTCTTTTGTTCTTTAGAACATCTGATGCATAAAACATTAAAGAAACCGGGGCTTTCGATCATTTTAAAAAATTTAAGGCCCATTTTTATGTCTTAAAAATTTATTGCAATATAATTTTGTTGCAGCAAATTTTGTGAAATTCTTCAACTGATAGAATTTCCATTTTTATGATTATAAATAATTCTGCTATAAATAAAGTTCTATGTACATAAATCTTAGTACATTTTTTGGACTGTTTCCTCATGAAAATTTCCAGAATAACAAATGTAGGAAGACTGTATGAATAGTTTTAGTATCTATTTGCCAAGTTTTCTGCCAAGAAAAGTAGAATCAATTTCTATTTCAGATAGCTTCTGACAATGTCTGCTTTGGCACATTACAGATTAGCAGTGTGAGTTCTCCATTCAAAATTTTCTTTTGTACTAAGATTGTCACTGTTTTATTAACCAGCAAACAGATGCTCTGGTCCCTTTTGTGATACTCCCTGTACAGGCACACAGATATCTTGGGTAATCCAAAACTTGATTGTGGATGTATAACTTCAAAAATTGTGTTTAGATAAGATAGAGCACGGGAATAAGGAAATTTTAGAATATAATAGGAGACCAAGATCATTTTCTGTCCCCTCTAAACCACTATTTTGTGGGATTTGCCCAAAGCTGGGTTGTATACCTTCTTCTGAAAGGTACGGGTTCCTAGTAATAAACTTTGCAGTAATAGAGTTCAACTGAAAAATGAAACAACCTTCAGAGTATGACTTTCTAGTACTATTGTATATTTGTGGTCTAATCTTTAAGCTCCCATGGAATTCCATCAAGATGTTTATGTAGGGGCATGATTTGAAATTTAAGTTTGGTTTTGGGCTTCTCCTGGTGGGCTGGAGCGATAGCACAGCGGGTAGGGCGTTCGCCTTACACGCGGCCAACATGGCCGACCCGAGTTCGATTCCTCCGCCCCTCTCGGAGAGCCCGGCAAGCTACCGAGAGTATTCGATATGCCAGACACAGTAACAACAAAGTCTCCAATGGAGACGTTACTGGGCCTGCTCGAGCAAATCGACGATCAACGGGAGGGCCTTTACCTTTACCTTTACCTTACCTGGTGGTGCTCAGGGCTTACTACTGGCTCTTTGCTCTAGGATCACTCTTTTTGGGGCTTGAGGATCACATGGGGTGCTTGGGGTGGAACCTGGTTAAGCTGTGCTCCAGGCAAAAACCTTGCTGCCTGTATGATCTCTCTGTCTTTGATTTGATATTTAAGATGAAATAAATGTTCAGTCTCTAATTCCCAGGTCAATCACGTGCAAGGAAGCGCATTACCTACTCTGACCTGCAAATACTTGATTTTTATGTTTCTCCCCCTCCTCCACCCTCCCTAATATTTCTTTTTTTGGGGGGGGGGAAGGTGAAGTTTTTTGGACTTAAAAAAACCACCCCTTTATTAAAGCACTGTGAGTTACAAAGTTATTCATAATTAGGTTTTTGACATACAATGTTCCATCACCATTTCCACCACCTTGTCAACTTCCCTCCTCCAGTGCTCCCAGGTCCACCGCCGCTCATCGCCCCTGCCTCCCCTAGCCCCAGCTCCAGACCCAGCCTGACATCTTGACAGAAAGCTTTTAAGTTTGGTTATTAAAGTTTGGGTCTTGGGATTTGAGTGTTGTTGACTCTGTAGTTTGGATGTTTAGCTCTATCATTCCTTAACACCAACAGATGTACCTGAATCCCCTTGACCCCTGCCCCTGTTGCTTCTCATCTATCTTTCCTCCCCCTTCTCCTTCACTCTATTTTATTCCTTCTCCTTCTACTCTGGGGCCAAGGGTAATCCTACCATAGCCCCCTTCAAACCATTGCATTTTCTCATCCAGTTACTCTAATATCACATTTATGCCATCTCATTCTTTGTTTATACTCCTACTGGGTTACTTCATTTAACATGATATCTTCCAGTTACATCCATGTTGCAGCAAATTGCAAGATTTCATAATTCCTTATAACTGCGTAGTATTTGAAAAGGTGACTTTTAGAGAAAAGGAGAAACAGTTTATGTGGTGGAATGTTAGCAGCTGATGAGCTTGATTGGATGGGGATTTGGGAGCTCAGTATTATTTGACAACTTTCCTAGAAGTTTTATTTTGTTTTAAATAAAATGTTACAGTGAAGAGCAAAAAAATATTCTCTTCCAAGAATAGTTGAGATAAGTAACAGGAGGTTTACTCCATGGCTTGGAGGTCAGCTGCACATGCTAGGAGAAAAGGCAGCTCAGATAGAGAAGGGAGCACCAAATAAAGGGTGTTGGGAGGATCCTCCCAGGATGGGAGAAGCATGCTGAAAGTAGACTATAGACCAAACATGATTGCCACTCAATGCCTCTTTTGCAAACCACAGTACCCAAAAGGAGAGAGAGAACAAAAGGGAATGCCCTGCCAAGAGGCAGGGAGGGACGGGATGGGGGGTGGGAGGGATACTGGGATCCGTGGTGGTGGAAAATGGGCACTGGTGGAGGGGTAATCATTGAAACCCAAGCACAAAAATTTGTAAGTCTACAACTGTACCTCATGGTGTTTCACTAATACAAATTAAAAAAAAAACTTCTCTTATTTATTAGATTAAATTTTATCTTATTTTCAAAAAGATCATTTTATTTATATTCTGTAGGGTTACATTTTGTGAAAAAAATGTTTATTTTAGTACAAAAATTATCTGCGACTCAAGTAACCAAAGGGTAATTCAAAACATATTTTCTTCCCCTACTAGGTCTCCTGTGCTCCACACTTTCAGTTACTTGTTACCTCTTATCTTTTTGATAAGTTCTTGAATAGCATTCTAGTGGGTATAAGGTTATAGTTCATTGTGTTATTATAATATATAATTTTAATTAAGACACAATTCTTTCAAGCATACACTGTTGTAAGACTGACACCCACTACAGTGTCCCCAGGGTTTCTGCCATCCCCCAGTTTGGCCCCCTGGTAGACCTATAACAAATCTATGCACATTTTAAAAAGAAATTGCTTTATAAATTTTTATTGTTATCAAGTCATTTTATGCACATGAGTTCAGATTCTGTACTTCATATCAATTTTTTTTATAATATCACTCCTAAAAGGTACAAAATAATTGTTTTTACTTAAGAGTGATGTTGAACATTTTTTCAAGTGATTGTTGGTAAATTTAATTTTTTAATATATGTTAATTTAAGTCCATAGACCATTTAAAATTGCGTTATTTTGGTTTTTAATTTGTTGTTGTTTTTGATTGATGTTGATCAGCTACTGAGTTATAGAAGTCCTTATTATATTCTAAGTATTAATTCTTCTAGTTACTGCAGCCTCTAGCTGTGCCGTAGTATGGTAACTGGAAATAGGAAGGACAACAGTGCACTGAAAGCAGTGAAAAAGTGGGAAAAGGACAAACCCAGTCTCCCAAACCCAGTCTCCCCTACTTTATCTCTCATTTCTGGTATCCTATTCTTCTTATTGCACTTTAACTCTCTTATTATTCCAGGAATTTCTCACAATTTCTTTTAGTTTGATGGATCAAAATTGGATTATAGATATAAAGTTGTGAGGCAGTGCTGATTTACCATCTTATCTAAAATAGATTTAGTCTTTGAATGTAGTCATTCTAATTCTAGAGACCATGCCTTTTGCTCTAATACTATGGGTTTTCCCTCATCTGAAAATAGAATGCTCCTTTTAGGAATGATTTGATAGACTGTTTTGGGGTCTAGAAACACTAAACGTATAACCATTGATTTATATGGAAAAATTTTTAGCTCCCATTCCAAATAAGAATGAATGACTTTTCCCCTCCAACTTTATTTAAACACTGTGGTATACAAAAATTGTGAATAATATAGTTGTTTGGGGCATTCAGTGTTTCAATACCAATCCTACCAGTGTACCTTTCCTCACCATTGTCCCTAATCCCCCCCAAACCCCCCAGCTTGCTACCTTATTTTTAACTTTTTAAATTTTATTTTATCTTTATAAAGTTGTTCACAATAATTTATTACATTAAATATTCCAACACCAGTCCTATCACCATTATACCTTCCCACCACCATATTTCAAATTTTTCCACCCTGACACCAAAAGCCTCCCTCCATACCAGGGTCTAAATAATCTGTTTTGTATTGCTTGTTATGAAAAGTCTGCTAAAACTTATCCAAAAAAGTTTTCTTAGAGGAAAGGGAGTGAAGATTGTTTGTTGTATCTCACACTGGAGCCATTAAACCTTGTATAAGAGATTACTAACATGTTGTTAAGAGTTGAACCTTTTTTTGTAGATCAGCGGTGTAGAGGATGAGATGTCATACAGCTGCAAATGCTGCCG